CCGTCGGTCTCTCCAAACAATAAAGGACCACACCACTATTACGCGTTCTCTTTCTCTCTCTGTCAGCACTCCTTATATAGCCTAAGACCCCCCCCCCCCCCCCCCCCCCCCCTTTATGTTGAGAGGTGACTAAAAGGTGAAGAGTGGACTCGACCACCATGTCCGGACAATTAAACCAAAATAAGTATCGCCCATACCCTCGAAGACGATGCCCTTAGCCTCCCGCCGGGCGCTTTTCAGCCGTGCCTCAAAAACGTGCTAGAGTCAAATAGCACACATCAAAAACAAATAGAATTTGACGCCCTCGCACGAGGCTACATCCTCTGTTACGCGACTTGTAAACCCGCGAATTGAGGGGTTTGGGCCCTCGTTTGATGTCTGTGCAGGTGGCGGGAGACGTCAAAAAAGTTGGAAAGGGTGAAACGGTGTAAAAGACAAAAGGCAAATAAACACGAAGAGCTTTCTCCTGCCCGGGAGAGGAAAAACGCGATGGGAGGCGACGAGAGCCTACTCGGCGTTGTCTTACTTGATCTTTGTCTTTCGTAGGTGTGTACATGCTTTGGCCGTTTTTCTAGTGGTTCTAGAGGCGGGTCATACAAAAGTCGTGTTTTCTTTTCGGTTATTCTCCCCGTCCTGATGTTTTTCGATTTTGTTGAACTTGCTCTTTTTATACTGCTGATGCTCTGCTCGTATTGCTCCAGATACTGTATTATGCTCATATTTTTAAAACGTAACGAGTAATTAAAGTAATCCGTTACCAATAATTTGTAACGAAATTACATTACAAATTACTTCGGAAAGAAAAGTACCGTGGCAATTACAAAAAATATTGAAAAAGTAACGGATTACAGGTAATCCGTTACTTTTTGTAACGGATTACTTCCCAGCGTCGGGAGAGCGGCAGGCAAGCGATGAAAACAGGCGCCCCGCGGGGTTCGTTTTCATACGGTTTGGTTTGGGTTCGGCGCAGTGTGAGTCTCGAACGCTCTCGTGAAAGCGTTCTAGCCATCTGCGAAGTTATTCAACTCCCAGGGGTGACACAGAAGGTGTTGTGAAATCCCCATCTCGGCTAGCAACAGGAGGGTCTTCACGAAGAACAACGACGGTGCCGACAAGCGGCGGTACTACGAGCGAGATTGGTTTGGTGTTGGTGGTTTGAGTTCAAGTTGAAGAATCTGTTTGTCGGAATGTTGCTGCCACAGCCGACGAAGGAGTTAACACGAGGGAAGTAGAGAGAGTGCCGAGACGGTGCACTTTCTACCGGAGAGACCTTTGGCGTCGTCAGGTTTGACGAGCTATCCATTCGACGCTGCCGGGAGACGAAGAAACGGGTTGTGTGTTTCGGCATTTCTCTGCTGGGTTAGTATTTTGAAAGGCGTTGGTAGGATTTAATCTCATGCATGATGTTTTTATAAAGCTCGAGAAGAAAAAAACACGCTTTGTCACTGCTCATTTGAAGGTCACGCTCATAACACCCGATAATAATTGCATTCGGTGACACTTCCTTGGCATGTCAATGAAACATCTCCGAGTGTTTTGGAACGAAAGTTCCGTGTTTTCATGAAAGCTGGTCGCTGTCTCATACAAACGATTTCCGCTAGTCTTTCTCAGTTCAATCTGGGCCACTTCGGACCCCCAAACGTCGCGTTCAGGGGTCCGCATCAGGACTGACACGCCGTACGCCTCCAGTTGTCTCAGCGAAGTTCGACACGTTGCATTCGAATTTCTAAATGAATGTTTATACAGTCTACACAATTATTCATTAGAACGACGTAGATTTTTTTTTTTTCAGCTTGATTGGGTAAGAAAGCAAACACAGCGTTGCTAGTGTTGTGAACATACGTTTTGCGGTAATGTTTTTTTAACAGTATTACTGTGATATTTATATAATGGTAGCACAATAACGTTTGTGCCGGTTTTATTCGTTTTATTTTTAATCCGAATACTTTACATTTTGGGCATCAATATTGCGTTTTAAAGCGAAGTGCTGCCAGTTGCTCTACGTTCGGCGCTAATGGCGGCCCAGGAACTATGTGCGTCACGCGACGAGCTTTTGTGCTCATGTGTTTTGTACACGCAACTATAGCCGCGTATCGCCAGTTGGTGCGTCATCGGAGCCCCGCGCGGCACCGAGTTGCACCGCTCATCTGTCCCTTGTTGTAGCCTAGGCAGGCATGTCGGCCTTGCAACACCCACCGGTATACCAATGCAGTCGAGCTGCGACTGCCGATGTCGCTTCCCGATGAACACGTGCGACGCCCCCGCGAGAGGCGCGCGTATCTGCACCGAGTTAGATCTGCAGGGTGCCTATACGGGGTTGGGAACGTTTTTGTTTGTTGAGGTTCTTATGGGGTCTAGGTTACATTCGCCTACTTTTCCTAGCTTTTGCAAGGAGCGTTTGAGGTGGTGGAGGGAATGGTTTCCGGGGTTGCGCACGGGTTACTAGGTGCCTGGAAGTTATGAGCTCGGGCGAGCGCAGTTCCGCGCTCATTGCCAGGCATACCCTCGTATCCAGAAACCCAAAGCATATGGAAATTAGTTTGTACGTTGTTGTTAAAAGATTCGGGTATGAGAGAGGCTGTTTTATCTGGGAGTCTGTTAAGACAATGCTCTGCACTCTGCTTGCGAGTTTGTCAGAAGTATGGTTGGTTGTGTTGAATTATCTGGAATCTGGTTATCTGTTGACATAGCCGGAGCGATTGCAGTCATTTCTGCATGGGTCTAGGTGTTTGAGCCGGGGTGACAAAAACCATAAATAGCTCTTTGTCGACAGCTGCCACTTGCGCCGAAAGGGAATCTGGTGCGAGACTGCCATCGATGCATAGAGAATCCGCTGGTCTTCGGCTGTCTTGTCGATGATCTTGTGAATTGCTTTGACACGCAGTTGGCGTCTTTTGCGGTGCCTGTTAGGGTTCATGTTAGTTGGTATTGGTGATACCTTGATACTTCCCCTTTGTTGGGTTCTGACCTTGCACCTTGTAGCTTTCTCGAGTTCCGTCGCCCTCTTGATAGCCCAGATTGTGTAGAATTATGCGTCACTGGATTGTGTTTCGTGGGCGTCTTTGTCCAATGTTGTTGGTCATCAGCCGTTCTTATAGTGTACTCGTTTTGCGGATGGCGCCTGTAGGCTGGCGTATGTAGAGATGCCCAACGCCAGTGTGTGGACTTCCTTAGCTGTGCTTCTACTTTGTTCAATTCTGTTTCGGTAAGGGTCAGCTGGACAGTATGAAACATTGTTCATGAAGCGGGAGATGACAAGAGCCTCATTGAGTCGCAGAAGGCCCGTTTTTTCTAGTCCTCTATGTTTAAGGGAAATGCGTTCGGCGAGCTGGATTATTTGGTTGTCCTGGTCAATAAGTTTCCGTGTGGCGACGTTGGCTCACCTTATTGCTTTGTACAGTTAGTCCCAGGATCTTGACGGCGTTTTCCTGAGGACGTTTATTGGTGTTTAGAAGTACCTTAATTTATCAGCAATTGCTGTTTTTTGGCGTTGTTTCATGATGACTGAGTTCAGATTTCTCCGTTGAGCAGAAGAGACATTTGTCCTGGGCATAGCGTTGCGTTATACCAACTACATGTTGCAGTGTTCCTGCTGTATCTGCGCGTGAGCCTTTAATTGTCCGGAGTGTAATGTCATCGGTGTTGATGGAGTGCCGTAGGTTGGGGACGTCATTAAATTCCTTGGGTAGGCATCTTTCGGCAGGCTAGCAACCTCTCGGTGCTCGTCAAGCGGGCGCGATTGATTTTAAGTCTGCCAATGATATACTTTCTTTGCGTACATGCTGCATGTGCCTGACGTTCGTCTGCGCCACTTGTTGCTGGTCGCTAAAGTTGGGCCGGGGCTTCACAAGAAGTGGTGATTCGTTTATAGACGCTCTGCAGTAGCTGTGCATAAACGCCGCCATAACCGACCTTCAGTTTTTGTTTCCTCTTATTCCGTTCATTTCACTTCGTCATTACCCTTGCAAGCCAGGTCATTGCCATTTTAGAATTTATTGCGCCCTTCTCTTCAGCATTGGCCTTCGTGGAGGCTTGTCGAACGCCCGTTTCAGTGGTTCGGTATTTTGGTAAGACCAGAGAAGGTCGGCAATGGCGGCCGTAATGTGACGCGTGTGTAAAGCGTCTATAGGATGCAGCAATGACCACCTCGTTCTTTCTTATAACAGGCTTGCAATTAGTGTAGTGAACTCCCTGCTATGTGAGAAGTCGCGGAAAACATGTAGAAATTCATGTTTGCGCTAGATACGTAGGATCAATTTTAAAGTTATATTTTCTTTATTGTATACACAATGATGCTGTTCAGCTGATGCTGATACGGGGACAGTAAACTCGTCAAGCTGTATAGCTTTTTTTTCACAAACCTTTGCTTTGCATTTTTGCCAGGTGAAAAAATGAAAGACGTTTACAACTCCCCGTAACACCGATTTGGAGCGCAGCTGTTGAGGAGGAGGAGGAGAGTGTACTGAGGGGAGGGTATGCCCATCTTGCACATCCGTACCCTTTCCTCCTCCCCTTCTGCTTCTTTCACGCGTGAAACGCGCGTCGTTAAGCGACGTTTCGGAGCGGTACCGAACGTCAGGGGATGTTTCGGCACGTGACGTTTCGGAACGGTGACGTCACTCACGCCCAAAGTCATGTGACGTTTCGGCGCAAGTGCCGCGCCGAAGCGTCACCGTGCCGAAACGTCATTAGGGAGTTTTCGTAGATCGTTTTCGCAGTCCCGCAAGGCCCTCCGCTACCCGCTACGATAGCGGGAACTCCACAGTCAAGGCTATCGGCGCGCAGGCGCAGTAGCAACTTCTTCGTTGCGGAACGCTTAGCGGAGGAGGCAGCGCGGTCTACGAAAACTCCCTATTGTGCCGAAACGTCCTTGCGGTGCACTATGGGAAACGTTTCGAACGCAGCTCTTAGGCGGCCGTTTCCGGCTTGAGCGGCGTCGACGTCGGCTCCAGCCCGGAAACGGGCGCCTAAGAGCTGCGCTCTAAAAAAAAAAACAATTTGATTTGATTGGGAAGGAGCAAATATGCCATCTGTCTTTTTTTCTTCTTTTTTTTAGCGCAGTTACATGTTTGGCGTTGGTTCCTGGAAGTTGTAGTACCGAAGGCCTTGTGCGCTCGTAGACACCAATGCCGCACCGTTCTGTCCGTCCTCCAAAAGCTTGATGACACCTCGCGCAACATCTGCGGGTCTATAACGAAAAAATTGAGCGAAAGTTTTAAAGGATTTGTACCATCCGTACCTGGTCCGATCGAATAAAAAAAAGAGGAAGCAATCCTTCCAATAACTCCGATAACGATACTGCCCGATACTCCGCCGACGCCTTTGCTCATGCATCTTGAATCGTCTTTGGGTATCGTTATCGGAGGTTTGAGAACGATCTACTAAAACTCCCTAAAACCGTAGTCGTTCTGTACTCATACACCGTCCAAAAGACACGAGTATTTGTCTGCAGACATGATGATATGATTATCTGCGGATACACTTTTGGCTCGTTCGAAGCAGATGTTTGCTCCATGTGGATGTATGCTTCAAACATGCAAACAGCTGTCGTATGGTGGACCAATATGGCAGTATCGTCGTATTAGGAAGGATGGATAGATGGGTGAATGGATGAATGCTAACAGTTGTACTCTTTATATTGGGGTGTAGCTTGCGCCACGCCTAGAAAGAAGCACTCCTCGGAGAGTGTAAGACAGTGTATGCAGGCTGTCTTTTGTATGACGTTTAAGCAAGTGTAATCGTGGTTTAATAAAACCCAGTTTTTTGGGTTTTTTTTTCGAGTCGCATAAATAAAGTACGCATCGTAGAAAGAGCTCGGAGATTCTGTGAGAATTTGACCCCGATGGATGTATAGACAGCGAATGTTTGAGATTATGACGTTTTACCTGGATCCAAAGATAAAAGAGAAAGACATCTATTCACTAGTCGACGTCCACCTAAGAACAAAACTTGTCGAACCAAGCAATTACATCGTTGGTGCCTAAAAACCTTATTCGAGGAAGAAAAAAAAATAAAAGCTTGTCAGCAAGAAAGACGATAGTGTTTTCTTACTAAACGAAAAGAAAAAAAAACATTTTTTTTCAGCTAAAGCAAATGTTTGCTGGCTCCCACAATGTATTATTTTGGTTTGACGAATATTAGGCTTAGTGGACGATCGGCTCATTAAAATTAATTTTTCTCCGCTTTACCTTTTGATTTAGGTAATGAAATGTTTTCGATCTTTCAGAATTCACCGATGCGTAGTTCATTGATGGGGGCCGGAAATGCGGGCTTCATTTTTTTCGATCCGACACGATAATGTTGAACGAAATTAATTTATGCGTTAATAGGTCCTGCATAAGAACGACCAAGAGATTTACTTCAAAAGAACGTTTTTGTACGCACAAGACAAAATACCTTCTAAGAATGAACAAACTGAAGAATGGCGCTCTATTTGTTTTGAACATCAAGCTTCCTTTACTAATTTAAAACTTGGAGGACGCTTAAGCTTCGCCTTAAAGAGTGGAACGCGATAGCGAAACATATAAAGATATAAACTCCCGTTCGTCCCCAAGCCGTGCAAGCCTGCCTTGCGTGGCGTGGTCAGTAGCGTGACTGGCCCGCAACGAGGGTCGCGGGTTCGAATGCCGCCTAAAATTCCTCAAATTTTCCCTTTAAAGCGAATGAATTACTCTATAAAGTAAAATAATTTGAGACATGCGACAACCTTTAATTCGCATTACATGTCATGTGTCTTAAGCACTTTCATTCCACGCGTGAAGTTACGTTTAACGTGAGCGTTTTTGGGTTGTTTGAAATTCCCGCGTGAGGTGATGTGACTGTGACGTCAGGACCCTACCGACCAATCAGGATTTTCCCGTCACCACGTTACCGACGCCGGCTTTTTTGCGACTGGGCTTCTTAACGCTGTCGCGTTAGAGATACAAACAAAAAACTAAATTAAAGCGGTGAGGCAATATTGTATAGTCTCATAAAATTGTCAAATATCGAGTACAGAAGCAGTACCAATATCATAAAGCGAAAACGAAAAGAGCATCAAAACATTTTTTGATTTAACTTCTATTTGAAGTGTCTCCGTTAGATATTTTTGTTGCACTCAAGGCTTCATGTCAGACAGACATCCAAACAACTGCTAAACCCTTCTGTATCTTGTGTTCAGGGAATGCTGGTACTTCTAATCTATAACCTTCTGTTAGTAAACTCCGTTAAAAAGGGGGAAAATATAATTATCTAATGAACATATCGGAACTGACAAAAGTTATACAGGCTGCTTATTACAGGCGCAAGGCTGTCGGTGCGAAAACCCGATTGACAACCTTATCCGTTTTCACACCTCCAGCCTTGCGCCCGCTGCTCGAGTGGCAACAGCGAGTTCCAAATATTTTGTAAAATTGACAGGATTAGTTGTTTTCAGCGATACGTCGTAAGTTTTTAATAGAATCCATCTGTTCACCTTCCACTCGATAAAAACGTTAATAAACCAATTTCGTTAATTTGTCGAGTTATGACCGATTAGTCTCCTATATTCAATACGCTGCTGGTACCTAACAGCGATGACAACTTTAGTGTGGTGATCGGAGGGGATCTTAATAGTAACATGCTACAAAATACAACGTGTAAGCAGAATTAGATATCCTACTGGCAGCCTATGGTTGCATGAATGGGATTACCAGACCAACTAGAATTAAAGAGGATACAAAAAAACTATTATTGATCCTTTTATTAGGAATTTCGTTAAAATTTCGTGCGATGAGCGGAATATTGAGATATAAAATGAGTAACTTTTTGCCGATATTCTTATATCTATTAGAAGAACATTGTCGAGATAAAATAAAAAAAAAATGAAGACTATCACTTATTTTCAATGCATCGCGCTAGATAACCTTTGCAGTTTCGTGAATGTAATGGGAATGAAAACTGGGCTGATATTTTTAACGCTACAGACCCATATGTAGCGTATAATACTTTTCTGGACATTTGCAAGAACCTGTATGCAGGCAATTTTCTGCCCAAGGCAATTGGAACATCAAAACGAATTCGAAAGGGATCGCCTCAGAATTCTAGCAGAAATTAATATACAAAAAAACGATTCTTTCTTGAATTCATTACAACAAAAACTTAGATAGACTTACAAAGTTAGGCTTTTATCGTAATCAATTTTAACAACAAAAGTTCAAAGAACAAAACTATGTTATTATCATAAGCCATCAAATTGACATGTGGATGTTATGTCGAAAAAATATTAATTCAGTTTTACAATTCGACAGGTCACATGATATTGTTCAAAAACTTTGTATCAATGGCAAAGAACTTACAGGCATTGTTTTAATAAACGCATTTAACGAGAAGTGTGTAGATTTCCCGGCACGACCTTACAGCAGCGAGAAATGTTGCTTATAATTAAAAAAAATTATAATTTTTTTTTCAGTGGTTGTCGTAGAGGTGTTTTCAGTATTTACGAATTTAAACCATACTGCATGTAGAGATGCAGATGATATTCAAATCAAACAAGTAAAATATGTGCTTAATATAATTACACCTTATAAAACCCGTATTCTGAACGTGGGCGCATGACAGGAATATTTCCCTTCAGTATACAGGTTGCTAATGCTTCTGTGCTACATATAAAGAAAGATAGAAATCACATCATTATCTATAGACCTGTATCACTACTGCCGGTTTTTTCAAAAACCCTTAACAAGATTATTCATACATGGTTTTCTATATTTTTGGAAATACAAAATAATTACAAAGGCACAGTCAAGATTTAGACAGGATCGATCCGTGGCACTGCGTTACTTGATAAAGATTTTATTTTTCAGAATACTGAAGTTCAAAAACTAGTGCTTGGAATTTATATAGATTTCACTAAGGCTTGTGCTATTTAAATCCTGAATGGTTAATGAAAAAGTTTGAACTTTATGGGGTTCGCGGCCCAGAATTAGTTCTTCTTCAATCTTATCTTAGACATCGTAAACAATAGCTGTGTTGTGATTTTAAGTCTACAATAAATTCGGTATTATCAGGAGTACCTTAAGGGAGTATACTGCGACCTTTTCGATATTGTGACCACTGACAAGGCCACTGAGTTTGTAATATACACAGATGATACAACAATCACTGCCTCATCACTGCTGATGAGGCAAATCGAGTTGTACTCCTGGCCAACGACGTATTACATAAAACAGGCGACTGGACAGAAATAGATGCTTTAAAAATAAACCTATAAGGAAAAGGCAGTTTATATTTCGACCTAAATATCAAGCTATTACTTTAATAAGTAGCATCCATAAAAATCCGTTCAAAATTGAATAGTAGATTATTTTAAGACTCTTGGTGTTGTTCCTCACAAACTATGTCATGGGAATTTTATATATAGCTCCTAAGAAAAAAGATAGGAAATGTTGTTGGTTTTGTATATCCGAATAGATAGATATTTCCAAAGTCAGTTAAAAAATTATTGTGTAAATTTCTATTTTTTTAAATTAAATTAATGTTACCTAATGGGGGGACCACGACGGCAACAAATCTCGAGAAAGTGCACCTAGTTCAAGAACGAACGTTACGCGCACGCTACCTGACGACACTTGACGCATACATCAATTCAATTTCCCCACTAAATCTCGGAGGGAAATTAACGATAGCTGAACTATACACCACTTTATTTTCTCCGCTTAATTTGAAGGGAAAATCGATGCCACATGACTTGTGCGCCTATTTTCCCTGCGCAATGTAGTGAAGAAACTGATGAAAACAAAGGTTTTTTATTCCCTTAAACGGTGGTTTAATGTATTCTAAACAATTTTAGAGAATCGCACTTAAAATGCCGCATTTCATGCATTTAAAGTGCTATCGAATGTGTCCAATTTTTATTGGACACATTCATCCAACCTGTATCACTGGGGAAAGTATGCTTACCTTTGGACTTTCTGGTTCTGGACGTCGAAATACGCCGCTGTTCTTTCCTCTGAGCTGAGGTGTTCAGAGACTTGGGTCCACAGTTCCGTGTCGATCGGGTCGGGACACAGGCAGCTGACTTTGACGCCATGGCGGTCAAGGTGGAGCTTGGACTGAAACAAAAAAAGTCATTCGTCCATGCATTACAGTCTAAAATAGGAAACAGATACGGAATCTATTTTGTACTTTCAATAAACACCGCCCAGAATCTACGCTCATGAATTATATAACGTTCAAAACACGCGCTAGTTTTTCTTAAAGCATCAAACACTTTTTAGCGAACCCCCCCCCCCCCCCCCCCCCCCAATCCCACAACTTTCTCCGTGCGTCCACCCTTTCATTTTCCGCTAAATTCAGCGGGAAACTAAGTTGATGCTTAGGTCACTTGGCGTCAGCTCGTGTCACGTGGCCTGATGTCACGTGACCCTACGTCGCGTAAAATATACACCAAGTTAGTTTACACGCTAAATTTGACGGGAAATGCACGGACGAACGGGCGGACAAAACTTTGGGACTGGGAGGTGCTGTTAAAAAAGAAAAGATTGTTTAATGATGAAAACAAATTATGCCGAATTAGCTGCTGTCGCTGCGCTGATTATCGACGAAATGCGTCAGCATTTAGCGCAGAGGTTCAGACTCATCGAATGGTGCGAATTCCAACCTCACAACGGTCCGTATGCTGAATTGTGTTCGGAAGGCCAGTCTGTCCTCCGGGGCGATGGCAGTTTCGGATGCAAGCACCTGAAGACACTTTTCCTATTCTAAGGGGTACACGTAACGAATCAACGAACGAAGGGAAAGAGCATGGTGGGAACCGCGACTCGGGCTCACGAAACCAGTCCAGTCCAGTCCATACCAAACCACGACCGTCCAAAAGAAAGATGGTTGCATGAAGGAGGGCAGTAAACGCTGACGCGTTTAAAACGGACCGATCAGCATTCACCACCTAGTAAAGTTAAAGTCTGCAAACATCCTTTTCTTTGACCACCAGACGTCACCACATTTGAACGGCGCCAACTCGGCAATGGACCCTTTCCGAAATTCAGTCTGGCCACTATTATCACTATCATCATCACCTGAAAAATGGCACATGTGCGGTACTAATGCCGATCTTCTCTTTACTGATGAAGGAAGAATTTGAAGATACTCCTAAGCTGAGGATTCGAGGCCTTTACATTCGAGACGTTAGCACTTTGCGAAGCAGGAATTGAATGAAAGGGCTGCGTGAGCGTTCATTTCTATAAATCGGGCCCAGTCAATCTGTTAGTAGCACAGAATCGTCGTCAAAGCCCCTTGTTGCATAGAACTTTATCAAAGCGTCTATCTGAGTTGGCGCTTCGTTCTGACTGGTTGAATCTTTGTGGCCATCGACACTGAAAGACATGATCGAGGAAGAATTGTACAGTGAAGAGCACATTCTCTTTGGTCGTTGACTTGCGAAAGTGATGTTGCCTGGTAAAATACTGCAGACCGCCATTAGTACGGTTCATTGCCGTCATTAGGACGGCAAAAGTTAAACCGCCATTTCAGCCACAAGAAGGCACTGAATGTCAGAAAGGGTCTGTTGGATCCGAGCCCGATTTCGCTTGTCACTCGGCACGTTCGTTGGACACGAAGTACATCCGAACGCTGACAAAACATTCGTGCCCAATCTTCTTTTTTTTCCCGCTCGATTTCGTTGTGATGACGTCATAAATATTGTGCACAAGCTTCTATTCTAGCTGGTGTTGCCTCAACTCAAGGCCATGAGAAGTGGTCACCTGATCTGGTGCCCATTAGACGCCTTCAATGTACATTATTGCCGCGCGCCGGCTGTTGGCCAAGCACAAAACACGTGCTTTCCGAACCCCAGCTTTGCTAAATCCATATTGCGAGGCTTTCAATATTTATAAATCTCGAAAGACTCGCACTACATGTCTGTAAAAAAAAAACAAAAAAAATCTCAAAAACGCGAGGCTTGTCGTAAAATGCAGGAACATCGAACATTGCATGCATACCCCAAATGCCCTTGTCATGGCGACAACGGCACACTTTGACGTGTTGTACGCAGGCGAGGCAGGTGCTACGTTGAGACCTGGAAGACGTCCCGAAGCTGTTGCGTATTATGACAAAAAGAAAAACAGACTACAGAAAATTTACTTTTACTTAAAGCCTTAAAGGGATACAGAACCGAAATTTGGATTGCACAAAATAAGGTCACAAAAAGGTTCAACGGAACGCTACGAACTCCAAAACATCACTCATACATCGATTTCTCAAACGGCCGGCCGTAGCTTTGAAAAAGAAGGGCGAGATCAAGAGAGAACTTCGACGTCACGATTCTCCTGAAACAGTCGAGAATGAGGGAAAGCGACCTCGCGTCTTTCCTCCTCGCTCTGGTTCGCCAGCTCCACGGGACGAAGCGAGGAGGAGAGAGAATTAGAATCATGACGTCGCACGTCTCCTTGGCCTTGTCGGCGGCGTTCAATCGCGCATTTCTTTTCCAAAAATACGGCCATCCGTTAAAGATATCGTTGTATGAGTGGTATTTTGGTGTTTTGCAGCGTCTCGCCTACCGCTCCAGCCTTGTTTTGTGAGCTGGAAATTTCGGTTCAGCGTCCCTTTTAATTAACAGGTATAAAGGTGAAACAAGCTACCAGACGCCAGCACAATCGGAATCCTCAAATCGCATCCGCGCCCACCGTCCTACATTCAACTTTTTTTTTCTTCTTACGGCCAAAACTATACAACGTTTCACGCTACGTCCAAACGCTGCAGAGGGTATGCGGTGCGCAAGATCGTCTGCTTCCTGCACAGGGGTTGCGATGATATCAGAGCCACGCCGAGCTCCTATTGGCTGATTGGAAACAGAAATAGTGAATAGACCTCAGGACATCTAGTACTGAGGTCTACCCACTGCCCTTTCAATCGCAGCCAATCAGAATTCGGCGGGGCTCTGACGTCACGGCACCTCTTGCGGAAGAAGCAGACGACTTGCTCTCCGCACATGACCCGATGGAGTCAATCAAGCTGCGCCAAAAGTGCATCTTCACGGCAAAGGTGTCTGCAGAGAGACAGACTTATAACCCTCATCCCTGGTTGTGAGTTTACTTTTTCACGATGAGATATTGTGATGGGCAGACATCACAATATGTCGTCTGCACATTCAGTGCAGACGACATTACTATTTAGTGCAGTCGATATATTTATTTACCGAAATTACGCGGATAATTAAGAGTAACAATAGCCACACCATAACCACGTAACAGCGTTTTAAAATAATTACTCCAAGACAAAATCAGACACTCCGCACGGCGTGGTATAGGTCCACGGACGTAATGAAAATTGCATCACCAAATTAATTGCGATAATGATTCAATGAAAGAAGAAAGCATCACCGATGCGGTTTTTGAGCAACGTACCGGCTATCGAAGCCGTGTTGATGACGTGACCGCCGTTGTAGCCTTTGTCTTTCCCCATGTGCTCGAAGCCCAGCAAAATTCCGGAATACACAGACTCCTGGAGAGTAGATGACGTGCAATTTAAGCGAAGGACACGAGATACGCGAAAGCGGAAAGGAAAGACATCACAAAGAGCGTGCCTCCAAAACACAGGGGCGAGTAAATTACTATGCAGGCCAGCGCGCGCTCTTTCTCAAACAAGTCTGGACATGTCCACACCAGATGGGGGGGCATTGCGCATGCGCAGAAACCAAACTTGGGAGAGGTGAAGCGTCTGCGCGTGCCCAGTGTCCACGTAGATAGGAATAACAGGAGGCAACCATACCGGCTCAACCCTGCAAACAAACGAGAAAATCCCGACTGAAGCGGGAAGTCGCGGTTGCTGAACGCTTCCAAGGGTGTCCAAGTCCATCCACTAGCGTCTTTGGTCTTTGGTGATCGTTGGGGGGCGCGTTCCTCCAAACCGGAAGTCTCCTCTGGCTTCACCTCTGTTGTCGTCATGTCGCCTCCATAAGCTCCCTACCTCCGTGCCGGTGCCGATAGCACCACCGCCGTAATAGGGTGACGTTACGGAGTCGAGTTGTTGTATAGTCGGCGATATAAAGGCTGAGAACGACGGGAAGGAGTTTCAGTGTATCCGCCTCGAGACTTCAGCGTGAGCATCCCACCTTCGATAACGCACTACGACGTCCCGTATACGCTTCGGGCGCATACCCGACAGCAAGCAACGGGCTCGTGCTCGAGGTCGGGTGTTCTAAAGGAACGCCCCGCCGTCATCATGGGGTTATTGACTATAGCCACCCATATATTATATTTGCTCGAAACACTTTCTCATTCGTGGCAAGGTGCTTACTCCTCAAAGTTTGGGCGAGCGAGCGACCGTTTCACAAGGCAGAGAAGCACAGTCCAGCAGTTGGTGTGCAACAACTTCATGGTTCTGAATGTGTTTGTTTTGGTATGAGTTGCTAAACGTGCTGTCGTAATGCTATCAATGAAATGTAAGTGTGCATTGTAGAAGTAGCAGTCTATAACAATCAGGGACTTTAATTTTGACGCACGGCGAGAACGTTGGAGAGGTCACCGACCGCTGCGATTGGCCAGCTCCGTTCTTGACCTTGACGCTGGCCAATCTTTCTCCCCACGTGTCCAACTCAGAACCCAAAGAACGGAGAAGACGTCTAATATGACGCGATACGAACCCGCCGTCCCGAAACTTCAATGGTGTTTCTGCTTTAAGATAATATTTACGTTGATGTGCACCATTAAGGAATGTACGAACAGAGGGGGCATCTCCACCCGGCCCTCAACACTTTCGAATCTGCTCAACTCAACTAAGAATAACATTACGGAGCTCTGGGGACGGTTTCCGGTCTGTGTAACGTTTGATGTTCCGACATATAACCATGCAGACATGGCGCAATACTCCGAAAATTACGTTGCTTTAGGAATTTCAACGTTTCCTTCGTTTTTTTTTTTTTTTTTTTTCTTCTTTTCCGTGCGCTGAAGGCTGTACTTACAATGTTAATGGCAAACACCTTCCTCCAGTTGTCTTCACGAAAGATGCCAGCATTGTTGACCACAATGTCCAGTCCACCGAACGTTGATCTCGTATCCTTGAAACACTCTGTAGCAGGTAGAGGCAAATGAAATAATCATAGAGGTATGTGAAGCATTTTACAATATATCACAAGTTGTGACGCTACACATCACCCATCTCCCATGTTCACACAAATGACCACGCCATATATTTTCTGAGAGTCAATAATAACTGCAGCTAACGTTCGTTTTAACTGATGTTAGGTCCAGAAAAAAATATAGTCAATAAAAAAAAATATGTGTACAGTCATGTATATCAACGCTCACGGATGCGATGAATGTCAATTGTCAACAAAAAAGGCCTTGCCAAAGATGTATATTTTCTTATAGCCATCAATAACTGCAGCGACGTTCATTTTAACTCATTTGTGGTGTAGATAAAAAAATTTATTTTCAGCAGAATAAAAAAAAAAAGATATATATACAGTCAGCGCTACTAGATGTCTTTTAATATGACTCTTTTGATATTTGCCAAAACATTCGTTGACGAACTGGATAAATTCGTGAATTGTGTGTGGTCAATAAGGACGACTCTATTTATGAATATAATGGGGGGAACGGACCTGACGATATTAACAAGACATGACTGTATTGTAATATATAACAAAGTTTGCTTATGCTCAAAATTACGAAATAAAGAATTGGTAAAGTGTACGCTTTCGATAGGGATATCAGCTCGCTATATCCAGTCCTGAGTTTGTGTAGTCCTAGTTACATATTAAACATTCCCAAAAGGTGCACGATAATTGGGACGTCCTTACAATATTCAGGTATTTGTTTCTAGTGTATCTCCAGGAATGCAAGCAGTTGCCATAAGTGTGTCGTATATAAGTCACGGTACTTGCGAACACTGGGTATTCGCAAGTACCGCAAGTACCGCTCTCTGGTTATCTTAGAACTTCTGTTGCCTGCGCTATCTTATCAACGCTTCTTGGACGACGTATAGCTGGGCGGTTCTGACTGGGATAAGGGAAATAATGGCTGTCCACCTTGTGACTTGCAAAAGTGAAAGAGCGATCTTTTTTTTTGTTTTGTTTTTGAAAGCTTGTCTGATGCCTACCCTTAAAAAAAAAAAAAAAGAAAGGCTGTGGTTTTGCGTTGAAAATTTATCGAAAAAAATCATAAAAAATATAAAACGCCAGCAGCTTTTCATCTTACTATCCTTATATTTTCTATGGATTTGTTATTGATTATTGGTCCACTTCTCAGAAGAAAGTCAACAGGCTTTCTGTCGCCTCCAAGATGATTTTTCTGTAGCTTCTCAATTAAAGAGCAAGCTGCTGCTTTTTATTTTAAAAGCTACAGCCGTGCAGAAAGAAAAGAAAAAGGCTTCACAGGTCATCTAATAATTTAACAAAGTTTTGGAAGGCTTACTACTGCTTTCACTCTGCTCCAGATTGGCAGCCGCAGAATAACGTAAAAAATGGGATATTTTTTAAATATTCTTTTAGCTTTGTTTATCTTAACGCACTGTACACACATTCTACAAATACACAGAAGAGACAAAAATACCGTGAATCTCTCACAATGCCTAAATCACTGTCTTCTTAACCGGTGTTACCAATTTTTTTCAACTATACAGTCATTTTTCAAAAACCCTACATGTCCCTACACTAGTCACAGAAGTCCCTACATCTGTCCCTACACAGAAAAAAAAGAAAGAAAAAAAGCCCGAATTATATAAACAACAACGCGCAATCTTCAGACGAGCTTCTATTTGGTTCTGAAACCACTGCAGTTTTGTTTCCCAAGAGTGTGTGTAGAATTCAGCTTCAATTTAAAATTTAAATTGTCTTGACTGTCATGGCGCAGAGAGGAAAAAAGGAAAACAAACCGCTGTTCAAGCGAACACCTATAAATAAGCAAGAGAAACCACAAAACGACTTTCATACAGAAACCACTCTTATATAAAATATTAAGCGTAGATTCTAGTGTTGAAGGCATTAAATGCATTCTTAAAATTGATCCATTTCATTACATTTGTTTTTCAATATTTCTTCCCACGCACAGTCGAATTTTGGAATCGCTTTCATATGGTCGATGTATACCATGTTATATCATTAAGTTTCTGTACAATGTTGTACCGCTTTTGATATTATTTTCACATTTTGCGTTCCGCGCCTGCACCGCGATCTCAATAGGAAGATCAACATAGCGTTACCGCAGGCTGCCGTGCAGAGTCCTGTTGCTACTGTGAGCTTGCGCAGTGACTTGCAAGCATGCTCCCCAGCGCGCGCCAGGAATTGTACCAGGCCCACGGTAGCCGCGATGTTAAAACTTCCTAATGAATTCATAGTATTTTTAAATTAATGTTGAAAAAATAACACCGACCGGCGTGAAGTTCTCACATACTATAGTGCCTAAAGCAATGTTCATACGCAACTAAAAAAAACAAAACGTGCGTCGGCATAATTAGAAACATTTTCATCTGACCCATATCTTCGTCAAATAGCGCCACATATGGCACGCTATTTGGCGAAGCCTATATATATATATATATATATATATATATAATAGCATCCCTACTGGATCAAACATATCTCCGAAAGTCTCTACGTTTAAGACGTGTCAGTGATGTCACAACTGACGACGATATTGAGCGTGTACGTGAACTGATTCTGTCGATCAGACGAGTGACATTGGATGATGTGACAAATTATCTGAAAATAAGCCGAGGCCAATGCAACAATCCGTGACAGGCTTGGGTTTGGAAAGGTTTTGATTAAAATATAGCTCCATCGATTGAACACGAGCCCCGTCCAGCCGCCGAGGTATACCAACTGCATGCCCTGCATTGACCTCCGATGAATGACGTCAAAACTTCAGCACTACAGCCTTGGATATAGACGGGGTTGATGCAACTCTCCTTCAATGCCGTATGAATTGATGTGCCTATGTACCTAGTCAATCCTAGATAGCAACCTCGGGGCTTAAGTCCATATAGGTATACGACAAAGATAAGATAAGGGCTCCCACCTCTATTTTAGATTACATTGCCCCGATTATGACTGTGGGGCACTATACTCCGTTTCAGATCAAGTCCAGACTCATCCGACGTTACGATCTGAATGGAACCGATGAGACAGCTGCAAAAGCGTGTTATCAGTTCGTCATATTTGTTTCTGTGTTCTAGCATCGCTGAACTAATCATAAACAAGAAAGGCCCAATGAGCGCTTTTGACGCCGCATGATTGATCCCATAACCTTGTAGAGCTGGCTGCGTGACATGGCCATGGCCCGTGTAGAGTTTTCACACATTTTTTGAGCACAAACACTACACCGCCAATGTAGGAGGCGTTTTCGTAAGGATTGCCGAGTGCGTACGAATGTTGTACTTCTTGATATGTAGATTCCACTGTTTGTTTCAATAGCTAAATGTTCTTAGGTAAAGAAATTGCGCTTGTAGACTAACCGTCGAGTTGAGCCTCGTTGGTGACGTCACATGCGAAAAACACGCAGCTTTCCTTTCCATATTTCTGTTGGAATTCCGAGGCCGTTTTGATTCCTTGCTTCTCGTCAATGTCTAACAACGCTACCTGCAAGGAGAAAAAGTTTATTTCATTGACGAAATTTGTGCCAAGGAAGCCGGACAAAACACTTCTAATAGGCAGCTTGACTGGGTCTGGTAGCCGTACGGTTACAACACATGATGCAATAACACACAGAAGACAACCTAGAGCAGAATGAGCGCTGGAGAAGTGACCGTTTCTCCTGCGTTCATTCTGCTAAAGTGGAAAGAGGTGGAAGGAGCTTCCACTTCGTTCAATTGTCCCTTCACCCACGATAATTATTTTGACAAAATAAGCGCACACTGTTTTTTTTTTCTTTTTTTGTTAATCAATGAATGGCACTGCGATTAATAATAAAGTTGGTAAGCAGTGTAGGCAGGTTATGAACTAGAGATTGAAGTGCGTAATTAGCACGGAATTGAGGAACGATCACGAATTCCTTAAAGGGACCATGAAACGATTTTGAAATCGAATTTCATCCACCGCACGTCGTAAAAGGTAATAAAATAAAACCACACCAGAAAAGTAGAGCCAAAAACAAAATTAGTTTCGTTCATAAAACATTTAAAAGAAAAGCGGACACTTATGTCTTTTTGTTTCCGAAAGCAATGCACGTCAGCCAAATCCACGTCGCCAATTGGATAAGAGCGAACCTCACCAGCACCGCGATCATAAACAATAAATAGCCGGCGAATGTTTCTTAAAAGCTTTGTTAAAAAATATTCTGATCCACATTTTCTAGCATAATTAGCGATGTGACGGAAATTGCCAAATTTTATAATGCTCGGAGCCATGCGCCATCTATCGTACGCTAGACGAAGCAAGACAAAGATCAGACTGCGCCTGCGCTGTCAACCCGCGAGCGTCGTCTGCTGAGGAGAGCTCGGCCGCGGGTGTTGCATGCCGGTCGCGGTTCTTGCTATCTGCTGAAAAACATGGCGTCGGTGGTGATCGTCGACGTGGTCAGCGTGGCAGGAGCTCATCGCTCCACGTAGAGCGCTATCCTTGATTGAATTCTCGTCGTGTGTTGCGATAATAACCCAGCACGTCCTAGAAGGGAAGATCCATCTACTCACGCGGCGATATTGTGGCGGCCACCCCAAACTGCAGAAACGCTCGTGCCGTCGTGTTTGTTTACTTCGACTACTGTGGTGCTTTCTTAGTATTTCTGTCCTCGAACATTGCCCGGATTTCTTATTTTGCGCATTCCATGCGTGTGCTGAAGTTCAAGTTATTAGTGGTGCGTATTGTATTTAAAGGCGTGTATAAAGGAGGTGAATTTTAACGCGTTTTCATTAAACGAGAAAGGTAATTAGTGTTAGTATTCCTGAAATTCCGAAACATCTATGTGATCACAAGATCATATTTCTACGTTGCTATATTGCTGCTATGATTACACTGTCTTTCGTAATCGTAGAGAAAGCGTGTGGCGAGAATAGTGTTATCGGTAAAGTCGTGTGTTAAAGTCGTGATCGTCCAAGACGGCGTACTGCATATTTTTCTTTTCCTTTTTCATCTACTCTGCCTTGCGAGCCTATCCTGACAAAATAAACATAATTAAAGCTTGAGCCCATAAAAAAGTCTGTCCATTTTCTGCTACGCCATTGAGTGGCAGTGCGTCCCCTCCTTTTGAAAACCACCGCGGAAACAGCTGACGGCGGCGGAAAAGCGGCTGCAGTGCTGACGACCTGCTGCGCTTCTTGCAGTGGTTGCAGGAGTGTATACGCGTGGCGTAGAGCGGTTCTCCGGTCGCTCCAGTCACAACGAACGGGCGCAGGCGTAGCTAACGCGCTCGTTGCAAGTGCCCGAATTTCATTTTGGGCAGTCTGGAGCTTAAAAAGAAATGGCTGCAGTTTCACCACTTGCCACTCGAGGAACCACGTCGAAGCACTTGATGCAGGATCATCGGTTTGAGGGACCCCACGTCTAAACTCCTCCGTCTATGCTCGGAACATTTTGTACATTGGAGTCGCCACTCCTCGTCGTCCTATTCCGACGAGGAACTTGAGTCTTCGTCGAAAGATTCACCGCACTTTCCAACAGGCGTACCGGCGTGTGAGGCCAGTCCCACGCTGTCGCTGTGCCGCAACATATCCAGTTGAATTTCGCTCAGCTGCGATGTGTCCATGGCTATCGCGGTAATGAGATGCGCCGAATCAGAAACTATGTCGGTGTCATAGGCGCCATCGGCGTAGTAAACCAGTGTGGGAAAACCTACCGGTACACCGCCAGCTCGCCGCTAACGCTCCCATCTCCTACTGCCGATAGAACTTCCGGTTCCGGTGCCAGACTACGTCACCATTGTCAAAATTACGCCCATGAAAAGTTGTCCACCAAACGTACTTCCACGAAACGAGTGACAAAATGATAGCGACCCGAGGTAGCCTGGAACGACCGTGGACGAAACTCGGGAAGCTGCTGTGGTGCGAGTGTCAACAAAGCACCTCGTGAACGAGCGCTCTGCTGGCCGCGGCAGAAACTTGGGGTTACCGTGAACGAACACCACGAACGAAGAAACATAACCCGTAACTCAAGCTTCCACCAACCGACTGAAACGGGGAAGGGCCATGGTACGAACGTCAACAACGAACCTCCCGAACGAATTCAGCGATCTCCTGAACGTGAAAGGAACGTCGCATGGTGAGTTTAAGAAAAGTTTGCGTTTCTCTCGCTCAAAGAGTCAACGTTAAATTATCTGGACCGCGAGATGGAGGCCTTCGTTGGCTACGAATCGTTAGAGGAAAAGATGACAAGCGCGGACGTTTACCTTGAATGAATCAACGTTTCGAAAACGCACCTGCATACCAAGCTAACAGAACGTGAACTAGCTACCACTAAGTCACCAATTCCATTCAAATCGCGGTCATTAAATCCGTTACAGAGCAAGGAGCAACAACCACAAAAGTGAAGTTTCTGAAACTGGAGATAACGAAGTTTCGTGGAGAGATGCGTGCTTGGCAGGGTCTCTGGAGCCAGTTTGATTTCACTATCCACCAGATCGAAAGACTCTGAAATGGAGAAGTTCAAATATCTCAAGAGCTACCTGACCGGAAGAGCAGCGACAACAATTGAAGTGCTTGCGGTGACCACGGAGAACTACGAAGTTTTTATCGACTTATTAAAGGAAAGATTTTGGGAAAAAAAAAAGAAAAGTTAATCATCGAGAGCCAAGTGTCACGATTTCAAACTGTCCGGACAATTCATGGCACCAAGAACGTCAACTGCCTCAGGGAGTCGTATGACGAAACGGAAGCCGGAGTGCGAAGCCTTGATGCCCTGTATGTGCGCTCTGACACATATGGAAAGATGCTTTTTACAGCTCTGCGAAAATTCGTGCCAGCTGATTCTAGCATGAAGTGCAGTCAAAACAATCGCTCAGAGTCAAACCAACCTTCAAGATAGCTGAGTTTCAATAAGGGACACAAAAGTGTCAGCCATAAACAGGGAGCCGGACGGCCGTCCGCGTCCATGACTGATGAGGTCATCTAGCGAGCACGTGAACTGATTCGGTCGGTTAGACGAGTGATAGCGGGTGATATGACAGATCATCTAAAAATGAGCAAAGGCCTATCCAATAATCTTTGACAGGCTTTGACTTGTAAGGACTTTGGTTAAAATAAATTTCCATTGATTACACTTTAAATTTCCCTCGAACTACGTGTGGGTGGCACAACAAATGAGAGGGGGGAGGGGGGTTAACGCTTCGCCGAATCGCGCTCGAGTACCCTGTGAACTGCAACGTGCCGCAGATAGCGCGAGCTCGGCCGGTCGGGCTTTGTCCAGGGCGATGAGCGAATATTGTGGAATCATGGCTGTCGGAGCGGCGACTATCCCCGTTTCAATCAGACGGGAGCGCGTCGCGTTGAAGCAACGCGGCCAGTACACCGTTATTCAACGTGACGTTCAATGGGGATGCTTATGTAAAGAAACGAACTCGCGAACAAAAGCGAAAGCGCGAAGAAAGGTGCATGCCCGGAAAGCGTACTTTGCATCCCTCGGCGAGAAGCGCTGCTGCGATGGCACTTCCCAGGCCCGCAGCACCTCCGGTAACAAGGGCTACTTTTTCTCCTAGATCCACCATGGTTCGTCCTCGTCGGGAAAACAGTTGCAGGCACTGTGACGCGCGAAGGCTCAATGGACCCTCTATGTACAGCTTCCTCGATAAGTTATCTCCCTCTGTCCCTCTCTCTAGCTGCCTGCCTCCCTCTCTCGTTCGTATACGCTTTAAAACCTCTTCACGATTAGCGAGAGTGTTTTTCTCGTCCTCTGAATTTTATTATTGTGCTTTGTCCTTGGGTGCACGAAGCAGATTACGCGCTATGATGGTCAAGAATCAAGAATCAATTTTATTAGGAGCCCTGGAACAGCCGTACGGTCTCGGTGCCAGCACACCGTAACCTATACGCAAGCGACAAATTACGCGTAAATTGAAAGCACCCATACCGAAACGCAGCGAATACACTGACGATACATACAAACACACACACACACACACACACACACACACACAGTACTATAGCACACCGAGTAGAAAACAGAGTCCGAATTCACGGTATGAGTAAAAAGGAATAATAATATTAATAATATTACAATTAAAGGAATATCCATTGGTGGATCCTTAGGAAATTCGTTAGCATGACCTTTGGGAAACGCTACACACGTCCCCCACTGGGAAACGCTAACGCTGACCCCTTCACTGTTTGGGCTTTCTCTTTAGCCTCCTCTATCTCGTGCTGGCTGTTTTGGCTTTGTTACGGGATTAGTGTTACCGTTTCCTAAAGGAGGACGTACGTAGCGTTTTCACAGGGGTCATGCTAACGCATTCCCCAAAAAACCTCCAAAAACATTTCTTTTTCTTTGCCGCTTATTTGGATTAGCACAAGTACTGGGTTCACGCTCTATTTTGTAGCACAAACTCCGGCATATATACATGCTCCGCACACCTGCAAATTCAGACTCGCCCCAGCATCCGCGCGCGCATTGGCTTCCACCCCGTGACGTCACCTTTCTCTCGCCGGTGCCCTTCACTACCAAACAACCGTTTATTAAAGGAACATAGAGATATTACTCGTTTACATCGCTTTGCGTATAATATAATTTGGGATTAAGCTTTTGGGGGCCCTGCTTCTAACCTCTCGCGACTTCCCCTGCCGTCCTCCTCGATTGCGCCTTCCACGGGTGCCCCGACCACAGCCCAACTCGACGAACAAGGATCCACACGAAGGCGAGCGAGCCGAACTCCTCCACAGCTGTAAGGAGTGTCAAGTTTGCAAGTTAGCGGGTGGAAGACTCCACAGCCGAAGTGGATCGGACGTGCAGGTTGGCCTCCAGAGGCAGGGTGATGTTTAGGGCTTGGTATCCAGGAACCTGCAGGCCTTTGACGGCTGCTTTTATTGAGTTTAGCAGCATATTGGGGCCACTTCGGCAGCCAATCCCAGAAGGTATTCTTACAAAAAATCAAAAGGCTAGGAGCCAAAAGCAAATATGAACATCCCAATAACTAGCGGATACACAAGACAGTACGTATTTCTAACGAAGCTCAAAAGAGCAGCCATAAACAATACAACGCAAATTCGTAGACAGAGAAGTTATACACGGGGAAAAACCACCTCCAAACTGGAGATCCCAAAAGCAGACAGGCACAAGACAAAACGTCTCCGATGCGCGTTTCTATAAACTGAGTGTAGCGTTACAGCGTTCACTTTAGCCCCCACTTGGGGCCTCTCGATTCCGTAGAATTCATGAGCCGTGCCGTGGAAACGAGCGAACCCTCGGAGGAGGTGAACATATAAAGTAAAATCAAACTAAACGCTCGCGCGAGCAAATCTTCGCGACAATAGGAGAAGGCTTTCCGAACGAGGCCCAGAAACGCGTTCTACTCCTAATGTTCTCCTGAATAGGTTTCTGAGATTGCCTAAATGTGGCTATAACCCACTCTGCTAGCTCTAAGCATCCTAGAAATCCTTAAATCATGACGGTACGCGGCTGATTTCCCTATTAGAAAAGAAATCAAAGATCGCAACACACCGATTTTATCTCTGGCGATGGGAGGAGCATGTTCCGAAACCAGGACCACTGTCAGCCAATAGCAAGCGAAGGATCTTCGCGCCTCCGACCGCTCGAATGGTTCTTTGCCCGTATTGTCCGGACTACGATTCAACCCAGCGAGCGAGCGCTCGAGCGTTGACAACCGGACACATCACTCCCGCGAAAGACAAAAAAGCAAAACAAAAAATCCGTGGTTAGATGTTTTTGACACGATTAATTCGGTATTATTTTCGCTCTCCGCGAAAAATTAACATTTTTTTGACTACCCTTAATTGCTTATAACATCTACAAAAGCCTGAACATTTTGTAGTAACAGCGTTTGCAATCTCAACAAAATGTCGCGTTTCCATTGATCACATGCCGTCCTGGCCGCCGGAACAATGCTCCTCTCATCGCCGGAGATAATTTCAATTTTTGATTCTTTTTTATTGGCGAAATCGGCCGTGCATCGTTATGATTTATAGATTTTTCTAGGATGCCTAGAACCCACAAAGTGAGTTATCGCCATATTTAGGCGATCTCAGAAATCTCCTCTGGGCACATTTTTGAAGGCGAAGCTTAAGTGTCCTCCATGTTTTTTTCTTGCTCGCATTTCGGTTTTGCGTCACGACGCTTTTTCAGGTTTCTCGCGAACGCTAAGCTCGCAGAATTTCATGAGTATAGATAAATTTGCGAATGAAAATAACAAAAACAAAAACGCTACAGTGCCGTTTTATGCTAGATGCAGCATTACATGGTCTCGTTTTGCGAGCGCGCTTGCGCTCCCTGACCGAAGACCAGGTAGCATTAAATGAGAGTTTGGATCAGATTAAGCAGTGGTTCCCAATAATATTCCCAATGACAAATGTCAATTAACTTCAAAAAGTCATCCTTACACCCACGTCACTAAGAAAAAGAATGTATGTGTGTTTTAATATCACATTGGGAATGTAGAATTGACCAAAACAGAAACTTTGAAGTATTTGGGGGTAACGATAATTCAAAACTTAAAATGGCAGCCACATATTGTAAATATCGGCGCAGCTGCATATAGGAAATTATTCATGCTTAGACAGAGATTCAAAAATAGCAATAATGAAATAAGGCTTACGGCCTAAAAAGACTCTAATACGGCGTACTCTACGGTACGTCTCAGTCGTTTGGGACCCCGCAACCAAGACCGACATAAACCGGCTCAAGAGAATACGGAAGTAGGCCGCACGTTTCATAACTTCAAACTTCAGATCAACGTCCTTTGTGACAGAAATGTTCTACGATTGTGGGCTTTAACCTTTAGCGGTTAGGAAAAAAATTGCACGGCCTTAAAGTTTCCTTTTTTTATTTATCAAGGCCAACCCAAAATCAACCACGTCACTTACCTATAGGAACATTACCAAGAGATAAAAAATACTGAATCCTTCCAAAGCATTGCAATCATATTTGGCCAGATTCGATGTTTTCAAGTATGTATTCTTTTTCTTCAAACGCGAATAACAATTGGAATAAGATTCCCGAACATTTTGCCATTATCAACGATGTTTTGATACTTGAGGATGCTGTTAGACTTTTTTTCTTTTCTTTTTTTTACTTTTTAAAACGTGAACATGTTGCCTCGGTGTTACTTTTTTTCTCTGCCCTCTCTGTGAAGTTACATGTATACATATATATCATGCGTTGTATCGTAGTGCACACGGCACGTGCTTCGATTATTGTAGCCAAATTGATTATCATTCTCTTTTTCCGTGCATTTAGACTTCTCTTTTTCTTTTCATTTACGCTCTGGGAGCGTTTTGACTCTAATACTCTAAGGATGATATTGTTTCATGCTTTCTTGGAGGTCCGAACCTTATTGCTTTTTGTGAAATGCATGTTCCTCCCTGCCACAGCCTACAGGCCAGCAGTATATAAAGCACAATTAAATAATAAATTAATTAATCCTTTTTTTTAGTTCTTTCATGCGCTCTGTTACCGCGGGTCAACAGGTACTGAAACGTGCTTGTAGACGAACGTAGCTCCTGCATGATCAAACGCTACAGTGCCGCTTTATGCTCGATGCAGGTTGCGTCTTGCGAGCTCGTTCGCGCTTCCTGGCCGACAGAAAAACTATGGTTTCCTTCCACTTGGTAATTTAACCGCGGCACATTCTTCGGGTGCAACTAGAAGACGTATCTTTATGCTCTGTCTACCAGTCAGCTTCCTCCATTCAGTAAGTGTCGGCCATTTGCTGCACTCCTTTTCAGCGTATACCTGGTGAAGAGGGCTAACGTTACGGCTCCGGTGAGCCAATGGAAATGAGGGAGCGAATCACGTCACAGCTTCTCTCGCGAGGAGTGCAGTCGGACGGCACGTGGTCACGTGATTCGAGCCGATGCTCCGGATGGCTCTTTGGGGATCATAGCCTTCGCCGTTTGCCAAGTTATGCCGAAACGATGTAGAGGAGTGCGCGGACCAGATACGCGGATAAGAGACACTGACCCTCGCACAGCTAATATCATAATGATAAGGATTCTGGTAGTGATATGTAAGAGAAGAATAGGCGAGCCGGTAATGTTTCCGGTTATACTGGACTTGGAGCTGCTCCAAGTCCTGTATAACCGGAAAAAGTACCGGCTCGCCTGTCCCTCGTTGTGCAGATTGTACACCTCGTTGAGGTGTACAAAGCGAATGACGATTTCGTGACGTCATGGACTTTCCGGGCAGAAATTCAAATAAATTTGTCGCCGTCAATTTGGCTCTAAATTATTTTTGTTGCGTAAAATTTATTTTTTGACACGCGTGTCCCAACCAGACTGTTAAAAATTTTTTTTTTTCAGAGGCCGTTTAAGAACAAGCGGTGACTCGTTTACATGGCTTTGCAGAGATTGCCACCTCGTTCTATTTTATCTACACACTTGCAAATCCACTGAACTTCTCGCCATATAAAAGGCCGTGGAAAAAAATATAGAAATTCATCTTCTGGACTAGATACGTTTATTAAATTTTATAGTTTTTTTAATGTTTACACCATGATGTTGTTCAGCTGATGCTGAAACGAGGACGGTTAACTAGTCAAGCTCATACAATTGAACTGTTTTCTTGTTGTTGTTTTTTCCAGAGGCCTTTAATTTACATCGTCGCCAGGTGGAAAAGTGGACTGATTTAACTTTTTAGAGGAAAGAACAGCACGTTTGACGAACATCCAGTCTGCTTTATTTGTTCTTTAATTTTTTTTGCACAGTTACACTTCCGGCGTTGGTTCCTGGAAGTTGTAGTACCGAAGGCCGTCCGCGCTCATAGACACCAATGCCGCGCCGTTCTGTCCGTCTTCCAAAACCCTGATGACACCTCGCGCGACATCTTCAGGTCTGTCGAAAAAAAAAAAAAAAAGAAAATAGAGCGAAAGTTTGAAGGTTGCGTACCTCTGTTTCAAAATACCGATAAAAAAAAGAAGAGATTTTTAGCACATTGTTTCGATAACTCCGGTAACAATACCCGTTTCTCCGCCGACGTCTTTGCGCATGCTCCGCATCGTCTTTGGTAGAGCCACTAAATGAGCTGCGCTTAGAGTATCGGCACTCCGTTTCCCGACATTGTTGTGGGCGCCGCCATTTTGGCTCGTATGCAGAGCAGACGCAACTGCCGATCGTCATGATTCAAAAGTGCGACTTCCCCAGCATTATATTCGGCGTTAGGAAGGTCATGTAACATTGCTTTGCTCTGTCGCGAACTGTTTAAACATTTGTGGAGGGCGGAAAAGCGTTTCCTGTGATTTCAGATAAAGCTTCAGATGACTGGCAACCATGACTTTAAGACACAATATGGCCGAGTGTCGTTACTTTGAAGCGTAGCTTATTTAGTGGCACTAGTCTTTGGGTATCGTTATCGGAAGTATGGGAACGATCTAGTACATACATCTCCCAAAAGCCGCGTTCGCACTGGTCGTACATCGTACAAAGGACACGGTTTTGGCTGCAGGCATGGCGATACCCGAGTCCCATTAGAGCGACAGACAGAACCAAACGACAGCGACAAGCCTTAAACCAGAGTCTTTCGTGATTTGACAGGCTTTGCAGAAGAAAGGAGGCTATGCTCAAACACGAGCAGCATGCACGCGAGGGTATCTTTGTCAGGCTCGCAACCGTTCGTGCTTACATCACGAGCACCGAACGACTAGACGCCTGCCAAAGGTACCATCGCGAACATGCTGCATGTGTTTAAGAGGCGTGTCGCTGTCGTTTGTTTTTGTTTGTCGCTCTAGTGGGACTTGGGCGTGACGTATGACGTTCCGACAGAGTTTTCTTAGGACCAATGTGGCACGACCGTAATACAGAGAAGAGACATGCATTCTACAGTGTCTGCAGGTTGCCTTTTGTGGGACATATAAGTAGTGCGGCCGCGACTTAATGAAACCCAGTTTTTCGACTCGCGTACATAAGGTACGCATCGCAGAAAGAACTCCGAGACTCTGTGAGAATGGGACGGCAGCGAGGATGATAAAGTGCGAATGTGTGAGATTATGACGTTATCTGGGTCCAGAGATGAAAGAGAATGGCGAAATTTTTCTATGAGCCGACGTCCACCTAAGCCTAAAATTCGCCGACCCAAAATTACATTGTAAGCGCCTGTAACGATTATTTCAAAGAAAAAAGAAAAGCTTTTTAACAAAAACACTATTAACTGGGGCTTACAATCTTATTTCTTTGTTTGGTGAGTATTAGGAAAAGTGGCCGGTCGGCTCATAGATAAATTTCGATTTTGTACCTCATCTTTTGATCCAGTTAACATCATCTTCTCAATGTTGCCTTCTATTTCCTCGGCAGGCGTTACATTCTCAAGGAGTGTCAGCTGTCTGCGATGAGGAGATCATTTGTGCGGGCCGGAAAACATTTTATTTTCTCGATCACACCCGGTACTTTTTGAAATGTTGCTCGAATGTGAATTCACGCTCTATCAAATCCTACATAAAAAAAATATGTGAAAAAGTTTTTTTGTACGCACTAGACAAAAGAGTTTCTAAAAATAAACAAAACTAGAAACGCTGCCCTTTTTTATGTCAAGCTTTCGTATTGTTTTTGTTTAATTACGAAGATACAAACGAAGAGCGGAATTAAAGTGATGAGGCAACGTAGCATGTAATAAAATATCAAATGTCAGAGAAAAAAGGCTAGCAATATTACAATGCAAAAAAAAAAATCAAGACATATAAATTTATTTGGGAAGTGTTTCTGTTTGATATTTTTTGTAGCGTTCGAGGTTTCATAGCAAGCAGACATCCAAACATAATCTCTAGCTTTTTTTCTTATATGTTGTCTTTGTGAGACGGAGGTGTTTGTAACCCATAACCCTTGTAGTGAACCTTATTGAAAAGGGAACCACTTTTAATATATAATTTGTCGAATAAAGATATCAGAACTTGTACGAATTATGTAAGGTGCATAAATGTTCCCATGTGATCTTATACGTTCTTATATACTGTAAGCGACCTAATTTTCGCGAGGACCTACGTTTTGGGAATTTCGAGCGTCGCGTACATACTTGGGTAGTAATTCAATTACAGTAATTAAATTACTGTAATTTAATTACTTTTCCCGGTAATTTGTAATTGTAATAATTACTTTTGGCTAAAAGGAATTGTAATTGTAATTTAATTACTTTCTAGCGTCAGTAATTGCTAAATTTCAGGCACAATTACAATTACTTTTGCAAGATTTTGTGGCAGCGGCGCTTTTCCCCCCTGGCCACGGAGACGACAGCAGAGCCAAAGCGACAGGGGAGAGAGTGTCTCCCAACCTGCTCAAAAGGAGGGATGGGAAGGAGAGGCTGGGATAGAACGGAATGAAGGATTTTGTAGACTGTAAAACGATTTAATGAAGAATTTGAAAAATAATTTGATAAATGAGGGCTACATTCGCGCCCGTTTTCGTTCCTGACGTAGTTGAATCTGACTCTTCGTCTCGTTTGCTTCCTGTTGCTCCTGCTTCTAGGGGTCTTTCTTATTTCGCATTCCCACACGGGGGCATCGGAGGTCGAAGTCGAGCTGGTTGGCTCCGATCACATCATCCGGTCGAGGCGGGGAGGTTGGAGGTTCTCCTTACGCGTCTTCGCCGCTAGCATATTCGCTTACATATTTCAGTCAAGGTTGGAACTTTTTTGTTCATGAAATTATTCTCTTTTTTCACGTCCTTCTCCTCTATCTCGTATGTTCATACCACTAACAGTAAGTCGTGCTACTCTAACATCGAGGCGAAGAAGCAAAGAAGCAGCAGGTCTCATTAACACGACTCACCCTGCCTTACTTCCAACTGTTGTTGTTACACTGCTCTTCCTTCTCCCAATCCTCGTCTACCTTTTTGCATAAGTTAGGCGTTCATATCTCATCCACTCTCTCTTGGGATTCTCATATCCAATACATAACAAATAATGCTAACCGCATGCTCGGATTCCTAAAACGGAATTTTTCAACAGTTCCTGTGTCGCTAAAATTACTTCTCTACAAAACACTCGTTCGCTCAAAACTGGATTATGCCTCCTCCATCTGGGACCCCGGTACTGACGTACTAACCCTTGCAGTTGAAGCGGTCCAAAACCGTTCTGCTCGCTACATCCTCACTAATTATCACCGCATCGCTAGCGTAACATCAATGAAATTGGGCCTAAAACTGCCAACGCTTGCTTTGCGCAGAAAAATTTTTCGCTTATGCCTGTATCACAAGCTATACCATCATAACCCTTTCCTACGTGAAACGCCTGCACCTTACATCTCGTCACGTCTCGATCATCAACATAAAATGGACGTACCCTCGTGTAAAACTACATCTTTTCATAGTTCGTTCATACCTCGCACCACTCTTGACTGGAACCACCGTCCAGCCTCTGCGGCATCGATTTCCGATGGTGTGGCGTTTAAAAACTGTATTGCCAATATTTATATTCCAGAATTTGACTAACCTATTGTTATTTTTCTTGTTCTGTTTCATGTGCATATCTTAGATTTACTTTATATTATGTAACCCACTCCCCTCTGTAATGCCCTCGGGCCCTGAGGGAAAAATAAATGAAATGAAATGAAATGAAAGTCCTCATTATTTAGTGTTCGCTCTATTTAACCCTTTCAACCGTTTGTCAGCCTGATTGGACGAGATTCCGAAACTTACAAACCGCGGCTTTAGCTGTAGGGAGCTTGTTTTTACATTTGTTGTTGGTTGAAGGCTTCTTTTTTTATAGAGGGCTTGGCTTGCACTTTGTTTTTACACCTCTATCGTGACCCTCCACGCGTTGTCCTCTCGTCTTGGCCTGTGGGACAGTCCCGAGGCGCGCAGTGCTGCTTTGCATTGAGAAGTGCAACAGTCTTATCTACAATGGAAAAGGAAAGGCTGCCGGGGCCTTGTTGCGAAAAATTCTCTAAACAGATTAGCACCAATGTAAAAAACTATAATCGTGAGGAGCAAACTCTCCGCACCGTTTCTGAAAACAAATTCAATAAACCGAAAGGCGACCTCCAATTTGCGGAAACACTTGCAGGTAGGCAACTTTCTTGTTACTTTGAATAATACTTACAGTTATAAAAAAAAATAATAATAGCTCGTCTATATCTTTCAGCTGAAACACGCTCAAGTACATCTTGAAATCGAGGTGTCCAAGAGGCCGCAGTTTTGGAATAATTCGCGGATTCTAATTTTCGCGACGCGGTGCGGTCGCGATATAGATTCCAATGTGTTTACATTTTTTGTTCGGAAATTGTAGGCGATTCGCGAAATTCGCGAAAATAAAGTCGTTTGCAGTGTATCATGAATTTTTCGAGGTTGTTCTTGCTATGCTAAATTCAAATCGGTCTTATTTATGAGACGCATGACATCGATACAATCATTGCTATCCTAATGATTAGCTACATGACGATCCTAAATTTATTAGTTATCTTAGGAGCTTTTTGGGTGTCACCGTGCACTGAATTAACCCAGAATCCCTGGCAATAGAGTTGCTGCTATTGTGACACTAGTTTTGTGGAAGCGACCACAGTTTGTGTGCTACGGTTACCCACATCCGGCATGTTACAAGTCCACAGACAGGGAGAGGCAGCGAATCATTGTGGCTGAAATGTTTTCGTAAGTTGTCGTATCCTTTATATGTTTGACGTCGTTTACAAGTTTCTCTTATTAGCCATTTTTACGTGAGTTTTATGATACCAGTACTGTCGCATATTTGTTTCCTTGTATTATTTTTAAGTTAATTTTTTGTTGGTTTGACTTGGATACCATTTGCATAAGCTCTAAGGAGATTCACCTCGCACCTGTGAATTTTGTCGCCATTTTTTATGTTTTGAGAATATATGAACGCAGGAGTTCATTACTCCAAACTATTAAGTTCTATAATCCATTTAACAAATTTCATAAAAGGAAAGTACAATGCGTGACATTTATACAGCGGCCATATAACTCGTTTACAGTTATATGGCCCAATGTGGGGGTAACTCTCAGAAATAAGTAATTGTAAAGTAATTGCATTACTTTTAAAAAGTAATTTGTAATTGCAATGAACTACTTTCGCGTAGTAGTAATTGTAATTGTAGTTAAACTACTTTTGGAGCTAAGTAATTGTAATTGTAATTAAATTACATTTTGAAAGTAATTTACCCATGTATGGTCGCGTACAATTCGCGAAAAATAGGTCCCGCGAACAATTCCGGTAAAATATAAAGACATTGGAATCTATATTGAGATCCCAACGCGTCGCCGAAATCAGAACCGGCCTATTCCGAAACTTCAGCTTTGACCTAAATCGCGAAACAGTGAGTCCGCGAAAAACAAATCGCTTACAGTATTCCTATACATTTCTCTTTTCACTAGGGAAGGTACTTACTGTTGCACTCGTTGGCTATACACGTTGAGGGCACCCAGTGTTCCCTTGTCCGAGGACAAATGGTCAGTGATTTGGGCCCACATTGATGTGTCTATTGGGTCGGGACACAGACAGTTGACCTTGACGCCGTGGCGGTCAAAATAAAGCTTGGACTGAAATTTAAAAAATAAGGGATTCGTCCGTATAGTTATTATTGCTCATAGCACGACGGTGAAACAACTGTTAATGGGCCGTCTAACGCTTGTTGTACTCTCAGTACAGCAAGCCACCCAGAGTACTTCAAGTTCTCATAATAAAAATGAATGAAGAATGAATGAAAAAATGAATGAATGAATGAAGGAAGGATTGAATGAATGAATACTGATCAGGATTAATTCTTGACTTTCATGACCGACGAAACACGCGTCATAATGTTTTTTTTTTTTTTTTGAAGTACGTCAATGGCAAAAAATAATATAAAAAAGAAACGAGCAGAATGACCTTCGTTAATTAGCACCCCCTAGAATATTCAAAGTTCTGAATATGAAAGCTTGCGTACCCCAAATGCCCTGGTCATGGCGACGACAGCACACTTGGACGTGTTGTACGCAGGCGCAGCAGGTGCCACGTAGATGCCTGAAAGACGGCCCCAACTTGTTATTACCGACGGTGGAAAGTAGTAAACGGAAACTGAGCTTCATTTAAAATACTGAGGTGACACACCGTCACCAGACGCCAATACAATCCAATCGGCTCAGCCGGTGATTTCGGACCCACAAAGATAACGAGGGCTGTCATGATGGACAGCTCCTTGACTGGCTTGGTTGGTTCGTATCGTCAACTGCATGCGGTCGAACTTTTTATTTTAATTTTTATTTTAACATACTGTCAGCTGCGAGGCCAAAGCATGTTCGTGGACATTTTATTTATTTATTTATTTATCCCGCTTAATGTGCCCACAAACAGCTCGAGGCCTTGTTAGTGCGCACATATTACAAGCAATAAAAGAACAGATACAGAACAACAAACAAGCAAGACGTGATTTAGAAAAGATAAAAGGAAATAAATTAAACTACGGAGAATAATGGAGAACAACAGAGCACAGATGTTTGTCGAGTGGCCAACAATGCTCTTCTATAACTTAAAAGGGGTGAAAATAATTCGAAATCTTTTCTATCGCGATTATAAAGGTGCTGAAGGCGTGTCATTGGGGACTGGACATAAACTCACTTTAAGTCCAAAATGTGCTCTTACGACAAAAACTCGGGCAGCTTCGCAATGTCTCCGCGTGATGCTGTCAGTCTTGGGTAAGTTACTTTTAAAAAGTAATTCGTTACAGTTACAGTTACTTTTAGAAAAAAAAGTAGCGATGTTACCGTTAAAGTTACCGCAACAAAAGAGTAATTGCTTACAGTTACAATTACTTTTAAAAAGTAACGACGTTACTTTTCAGTTACTTCCCTATAACACAAAAAAAATGAGAAAAACTAGAAAACGCCCCTCACAACGTTTTATTGCATAAAATTAAAAAGTGCGCTTTTTACTTCATATTGTAACTTAGCAGCAAATGCTTCTCGAAGTTAGTGTTTGAAAGTTTCCACGCCAGAGTAGTGGCGCAAATCAAAATACAAAACATGCGCAGTGCGGATCAGTGGCGCTAATCGAAATACGAGACATGCGCAGTTCCCTCCACGTGTATACTGTAAAACCCTTTATTTTCACGGCCCCTATTTTTCGCGAATCGGTCACAGATGACACAATTGCGACCACTAAATTTCGCGAATTCCAGGTGCCTGCATTGAAAATATTAAGGACCGAAATTTTCGCACGCACTTAAATTTCGCGAATTCTTCAATTCGCGAAATTCGCGAAAATTGAGGGCTCGCGAACATTAAGGGTTTTACAGTAGTTGTTTCACGGTTGATTCACCCGATTAAAAAGCGTTTGCACAGAAAAAAGAAAAAAAAAAAGAAAAAAAAAACACAACATAGTAGTGCTTCAAGACACTAAGATGTAAATTTTCAGTCACAAAGTACAAGCACGTGCTTAAAGGTAACAAGATATTTTTGCATAAAATCTACACGCGGCTATATTCGGGTCATGACTCGCGAGAAAGAATGTATTCACAACTTTGTGCAAGGCCAACTTGACACTCGAAATGTCGGAATAGACGATTTGGAAAGTGCAAGGAATGGCTAAATTGCACCCCCCTCGTTCAGTGATATATTATTCATAAAACACTTGAAAGTAACGACAGAAGTAACGTCGTTACTTTCATCGTTACCTTAGAAGAAAGTAATGAAACTACAGTTACAAGTTACATTTTCAAAAAGTAACTCGTTACAGTTACAAGCTACCAAAAAACTAACGAAGTTACAGTAACGCGTTACTAGTAACGCGTTCCTACTTAAGACTGGATGCTGTCAGCCGCGGTGCTATATTTCGGGTTTTTATCGGAGCTAGACGCTGATCTCTGGGGCTAACAGTATTGAAAATGAGTTCATCAAGTTGTTTTTACGGCGATCGCAATACAAATCTCGGTTCAGTTTTGCGTCGGTACCGTTACGTGTCCAGTGGTCAAAATTGTACTACATGGCGGCAGCCCTGTGGGGGAGGGGGGGGCGGGTCAGTTTTGCCTGATGAACGGGACACCAACTTATTTCTCTAAGCCCCCCTACCTTGTTGTCAGCACCAAACAAGCTCTATAGCTTGTGTAGGAAAGCAAAATCACTCATTCCACCGTTAATTCGGCTGCACGGAAAAACACCGAACATGCTTTGTGGCTCACTCTGAAGGGCTGGTTTATTCTGTTCCTCTCTCGTGTGGTAAGAAATATATCGGTCAAACTGACCGGTGTTTAAATGATCGATTGAGAGAACACCACTGTAACGCTTACGAAGTCATTTCTGGACATCTCTGCATCCACTGCAGTGATTGCGGCTTCTCAGCTGATTTCGAGAAAAGTACCGTAATAGCTAGGGTTAAGAACCCGCTCACTAGAGAAGCACTGGAGGTAGAGATGATCTCGCGCCTAAAAGATAAATCTTTCAGAAGACCATCCCTAATGCTACCTGAAAAAAAGAATTAGAATATTTAGCGCGATGATCGCAATGTTTTGAGTCAGCAGTTGTGTTTGTCTCTTTGTGTGTCTCGTTTCGTCCTCATTTCGTGCGCTGTAACCCCAACGCCGCCTTAACCGCAAATTAGCGTTCAAACTAATTGTCGGAAAGCGGAATTATACAGCCTATTAAAATATGCTCTGCGTTTGTATGCCGGAGGGTACAGCAAACGTTACATCACCAAATTGCTTAGGATAATGACTCGGTCAAAGGAAGAGAGTGTCCCCGACGAGGACATTTAACAACGTACCGACAATTGAAGCCGTGTTGATGATGTGGCCACCGTTGTAGCCCTTGTCTTTACCCATGTACTTGAAGCCAAGCAAAATCCCCGAATACACAGACTCCTGGAAAGTGGATGACATAATTTCAGCCAAGGACACGGGTTACGTGAAAGCGGAAGATAAATGTGCGACAAACAGTGTGTCTGCACAACAGAGGTGCGAGTAAAATATCATAGTCACTGAGTTGACCCGCCTCAAGGCCCCAGCGCAACCATCCTGCCTTCGAGAATACTTCGGGGTCCCGTGTACTCACAGCCAAAGCACGACGGAAGGCAACAAAACGTGCTCAAGGTCGGGCGTCTCAAAGGGACGCCCTGCCGGGGTTATCCCGTCATTGACTATAGTCACACTGTTATAGGTTGCAGGCACTTCATCGTTCGTGGCAAGAGCGCTCACTTCCCAAAGTCTGTGTGAGCGATCGGATCTTTCAGAGCGCAGGGAAGCATAGTCCAAATATCGGTTTTCAAAAACTTTATAGTTGATATGTCTGTTTTTGTAGATTAGTTCTTAAAGGTGTTGACGTAAAGCTATCAATAAGAAGTAGTTTGCATGGTAGAAGTAGCAGTCTATAACACCACTGGCTCTAAGTTGGACACGCGGCGAGAAAGTCGGCGAAACTCACCGACTTTTTTTTCGCTAAGTGTCCAGCTTGGAGCCCCAGAACGGTGAACACGTACAGAACAAGGCATAATACAAAATCGTCGTCTCCGAACTCTGATAGTGCTTCTGCTCTGAGCGAACTTTTAAGTAGAGTTGAAGTGTTGAGGTACTGAGAAAGGGGCATTCTCACCCTTTTCTATGTACCTCAACGCAAACACAGCTCAGCTCAGACGCATCTTACAGAGCTCTGGGGCGGAATTTGTTCTGTGTAATATTTTATTTTCAGACATATAGCCATGCATTTAGAGAGTAATACTCCGGAAATGACGTTGCCGTCAGAAAGTTAACGTTCCCTATAGTTTTTTTTTTTTACTTGTTCACGTGCTGAAGACTGTACTAACAATGTTGATGGCAAACATCTTCCTCCAGTTGTCTTCAGAGAAGATGCCAGCATTATTGACTAATATGTCCAGTGCTCCAAACTTTGACCTTGTATTCTTGAAACAGTCTGTAGAAGGTAGAATCAAAGCAAGTAATATCAGAGAAATCTGTAAAGGACCAAATAATACCATCACCCAAGTTGTGGCGCAACAGATCAACCATCCCCACAAGTTTTCACACAAATGACCACTCCACTCACAAGCTTTTTTTAGAGCCACGAAATGCGCCAAATGTTTGATTTCACTCACCTAAATTGCTCTGTGATTAATTTTTTTTTTTTTTTTAGTTTTTGACGAAGCTTTTTTATTTATATAATTATGGAATAAAGAAAATGTTTGGCAAATTGCTAGGCAACTGCTTTGGATCCGTGAAACGTTCTAGCCTCACAAACATTTAGAGATACTCTGAGTTTCTAGACGCCACGCACCAGACACCAGACGACTATGTTCACGGCGCTCTTAATCTGATTGTTTCAAACGTTTCCAAGAAATAAGCCCCCCCCCCCCTCCCCCCTCATCGGGGGGGTGGGGGGAATGGGGTTTGGAAGGGCTTTGAAAAACAAAATATCAACTGATTAAAGATGAGTCCCGTCCAAACGCTTACGCAGCGTTCGTGCCCAGTATTGGCCTCCATTTGGTGACATCAAAATTTCAGTACTACGGCCTTGGTAAATAGACAAAAAGGGCGCAAACGAGCTGGTGTACATTGCACATGGTTGAAAAACCCCGAGACTGCGGATAAACGACACAACACTAAAAAGTCTCTAAAAGTCTGGTAAATAGGCGGGGTTGATGCGACGCACCCTAAAGTCACGCCGCACGTAGCCAGGATTTTGATTCGGTGGGGGCCCGCCCATGACAAAATACTGTATGACGGAGAGGGGGAGAGGAAGCATAACCAAAATAGAAGATTTCGGGGGAGGTGGGGGGACATGCCACCCCCCCCCCCCCTCTTCTTCCTGGATACGTGCCATGAGCCATGCCAGTCGAAGCAATCAATAGCGTACGAATTAGAAGATAGTTCATCCTAGATATCAACCTCGGGGCTCAAGTGTATATACGTATACGATAAAGATAAGATATAAGGGCTCTCAAGTGCATTGTAGATTACAATGAAGGATTGAACGGTACTAAGCACAGCTATTGCCTGTGCAGAGTTCCCTCCCATGTCTTGAGCACGAACACTACAATATTAAGAATTTCTAGACGACAACTGCGATGTAGTGACACTTTGTATTGCGTTTAGTGTGTAGGTTTATACAGCCTGGAAGTTAGTCTGCCTTCAAGGAGCGACCTGTCTCCTCTCACCGGTGTGTGAGTGATTGAGCCAGCGTAGTACAACCACAAGCGTGAGCTCTTTAACGTGCACCACGCAGTATAGTAATACACAACCGCACGCAGGCACGATGCTCACCCATGATCGAAAGGGGCAGAACCCAGGATCCCTGGGTTCTGCAGCGCGAGCTTTCTTTCCACGCGCCCCCGAGCTCGTGTGCGCTAGCACGCTGGGCCACTCCGATCCCCATGACACTTTGTAACCGCGAATATATTTTGTGTTTTTACGAGGATTGCCGAGTGCGTATGAATGTTCTGTACTTTTCGAAATGTAGATGCCGCGGTTATAGTTTTAGTACGTCTATATGTTTTTATATAAAGAATTTACGCATGTATGTACACAGACCTTCCAGTTGGCCTTCATTAGTGACGTCACACTTGTAAAACACGCAGCTTTCCTTTCCGTGTTTCTGTTGGAATTTTGCGACCGTTTTGGTTCCTTGATTCTCGTCAATGTCCAACAGCGCCACCTGCAAAAAAAAAAGATGATAAGATAAAAAAGTTTATTTCATCGACAAAATTTGTGCCTACGACACCGGACAAAACACTTCCAATGGGTGGCTTGACCGGGTCTGGTTAGTCCGGTAACCCGCAGACAAAGAACATGGAACAATGGAGAGCGCAAGTTCGTCTGCTTCTTGCACAGGGTTTGCGATGATGTCAGAACCAGTGTTGCGGAATGGGCACCCCCATTCCATTCCCATTCCATTCCGGGGAATTAGAGTTTTCGATAATTCGATTCCTTTCAACTCCTAGGAATGGAGACACTGGGCCCACTCCCACTCCTGGAATGGCTGAATCGTTCCATTCCATTCCTCTAATTCCAAAACGTAAAAATTGGCTCTTGACAGCTACATTGTGTTGCCGGCATAAGCACCATAAAGCTGACATTATCAAACGCATAGACAATTGCAACAAAATGCAAAATGCCTGAAGAAAGCACTCATTTTACTAAGCGGAGCGCCAGTGGCATGAAATGTTTGTTTACATTGTACTGCAAACATCGAGAAAGCCTCTTGATATCATGTCGATGCTTGTTTAAAACGTCGGTCTTTCGACCACGTGGCTCGCAACAAAAAGCAAAACGTAAATCCACTAATTTTCTTTGGCAAACTTTGTTTTGCATTTGTCTTCTAGGACATACGCGGCCAGCCTTTTTGTTTGATAAGACCATAAAAATATCCAGTTTGTGCATGGCGCAGAAATAAATGGGTCCATATCACATGAGCGAATGACATTTTAGCGAACAGCGACATTTGAGCGAATCGACGTTTTAGCGAATAACCGGGGCGCGCGTTAACCCATCCGCCGCGCTGCGCTTTACGCCGCTTCGCGGCCGACAGTCTGCGGCGGCTCATTACAAAAATGTGAACCCATTTGCCCACCCGAAAACGACGCTTCGCGGAGTCTGACTATGCGCTAAAGTGTCATTCGGTGAAACGTGGGCGTTCGCTAAAACGTCATTCGATCAAGTGAGTGCCTCCCGAAATAAACTATATTAAGTACTGTATTCTTCAACTACCTGCACAGCAATACGGTTAGTACGCTGCTGGAAGCGACTCCATGCACGGTGGCAGGAACACATTCTCTGACAAAGTGCAACCTCTGCGGCGAAGCACGAGAGACCATGTCACGAAACAGTCTTTCTGCAAGTCTTGAAGGTCCATATCACATGAGCGAATGACATTTTAGCGAACAGCGACATTTGAGCGAATCGATGTTTTAGCGAATAACGGGGTCGCGCGTTAACCCATCGGCCGCGCTGCGCTTTACGCCGCTTCGCGGCGACAGTCTGCGGCGGCTCATTACAAAAACGTGAACCCATTTGGCCCACCCGAAAACGCCGCTTTGCGGCGTCCGCGACTATTTGCTAAAGATTCATTCGGTGAAACGTGGGCGTTCGCTAAAACGTCATTCTAGTCAGTTCGGTTACGGGACAAGAGCGGTGACGACAATCTACTTCACCTTACAATAGACCGCACCAGACAGCACGAGAGCCATCGAAACCTATCCAGTGCCTTCTGAGTGTCGCGTGACCCTGGGGCGCAGCAACGCGCCTTGCGCGTACTCCCGCTCACGGTGCTGGATTGCCTGGCGTGACTCATAGCGTCCGCAGCGGTCCATCACAAGGTGAAAAAAAGTACGCAGAATCTAAAGTCGAAGGAAATGAGCGGGAATCCGCTAGCTTGCTTGTAACCCTAACCGGCTTGAATGGAAAGCATATAGACGCTTTGCAGCAGCTGTGCATGGACGCCGCCATAATTGACCTTCGGTTTTTGTTTCCTCTTATTTCGTTGATTTCACTTGATCTTTACCATAGCAGGCTAGGTTATTGCCATATTAGATTCAACTGTGTCCTTTTCTAAAGCGTCGGCCTTTGTAGAGGATCGTCAACTACCGTTTCAGTTGATCGGCATCTCGGTAAAACAAGAGAAGATCAGCAATGGCGGCAGTAATTTGGCGCGTGTGTAAAGCGTCTATAACCCAAAAAACATGCATCGGAAGAAAGTTCAAGTAAAAGGCGGACTTACACGTAAAAATGCAGAATAATAAAACAAGTGTCGGAGCAAAGCACAAGAGGAGAAGAGAGAAGTGAATCTTGCTTTGTTTTATTGTCGAAGCAAACCCACAGTTCGCACTTCAAAGGAGTGCGCGCGAATGAACGTGAAAGGCAGCAGGTTTGACCGCCTGCTAAACAACGCTCCTCGAACTATACGAAAACAATAGAGAGTTTTAACAGATCGTGTTTTCAGGCCACGCTAATCGTAGCGAGAGCTCGCGCTGCCACTTCGACGCATGCTCTAAAGCGCGCGCTCGTAGCGGTAGCGAGTCTTTAAAAACGATCTACTAAAACTCCCTAATAACTGATCATCTTTCGGCGGCGCGCGAGTCAACGAGTTATCGGAGCTCTGCGAGTTATGAGTCGTCCCCCGCTCTCAGATCTCAGTCTGTGCGCGCGTATATTCTGCATGCCTTCGTTTCTTTTGCTTGGTGCTTGGTTTCTTGTTTCGCTCGCTCTCGCGTAACGCCAGTAAAGCCCGTCGCCTGTGCGAAAGGCGCCACCGCCACCCCCCCCCCTCTCCCTTTCCTATCTACTCTTTGCTTTGACGCTTCTTTTTTGTATTGCATTTTTTGCGTATAAGTCTGTTATAGACGCTTTACACACGCGCCAAATTACAGTCGCCATTGCTGACCTTCTCTTGTCTTACCGAGATGCCGAGCAACTGAAACGGTAGTTGACGATCCTCTACAAAGGCCGATGCTTTAGAAAATGACACAGTTGAATCTAATAAGGCAATAACCTGGCCAGCTAGGGTAATGATGAAGTGAAATAAACGGAATAAGAGGAAACAAAAACTTACGGTCAGTTATGGCGGCGTCCATGCACAGCTGCTGCAAAGCGTCTATAGCTCCACGCGGGTTAGCAACTGGCTCGCCGACTGGCTCAAATTCGCTGACCGTAAACACTAAAGAAAAAAAAGAATAGAAGAACCGGGCCCATTCCATTCCCATTCCATTCCGGGCAAAAGGCATCTAATTCCATTTCCATTCCATTCCCCTCAACGCTGCTGCCATTCCATTCCCATTCCATTCCGGGGTCGCGAAAATTCGGAATGATTCCGGAATCATTCCAACTCCGGAGTGGCAACTCCGCAACACTGGTCAGAACGCCTAGCTCTCATTGGCCGACTGAAAAAAAGAAATAGTGGGTAGACCTTAAGGCATCTAGCCACTGAGGTCTACCCTCTAACCTTTCAATCAGAGCCAATCGGAGCTCAGCATCGTTGTGACGTCACCGCAACTCCTGTGCAAGAAGCAGACGACTTCCTCTCCGCATAACATAAATAAAGCAAAACTAATTATGTTGACAAAATAAGCTCACACTTTTTTCTTTTGGTTAAATAATAAACAGTGAATAATGCCAATGCGGTCGATAATAAAGATGGTAAGCAGTGTAGCTAGGTTATGAACTAGAGATTGAAGTGCATGATTTGTGCGGAAACGAAGAACGATGCAGAATAACTCAAGTCGGATGTCAATAAGAAATTCACATTTAATTAGGTTCAAAAGATTTATTAAAAGAAAAGGCGAGAGACTCCACACCTGAAAATATTTTGGAATATAACAAACGATAATCATAGACACTGGTAATTTTTATGACATAGGGGTTCATAAATAATGACATCATGGTTAGCAGAAGAGAAGTCACCATTAAGTAAACGTTCTTCGAGTGACCACAAAGGAAGCTGCTGACATTTCGTTGAGGGTGTACTACGAGGTTTATTCCAGAAAAACACCACGGTGTTTCGCTGTCTAAATTAGGTGTTGTAAGCGAGTAATAGAATATCAATGCTTTCACTCTCGAATTTTCGGCAATTTGACATCCACGAGTTAGTTCGTAGATAAAATCGATTAGAACGGTTCAAGGTGAAACGATAAAAGTAAATGCTTAACTCCGTGTTATTCAGCGTTTGCCGACTTAGAAAAAACGCTACACTTGCATCCACGCCCGGCAAGTAGACCGCTATTTATGAGACGCAACGTTTGCTCTGTGGGACCTATTTAAAGAGATGAGCTTGGGAACAAAAACAAGTATATCAAGATATATATATATATATTGCTTCCTGACGAAGGCCGGACTCCGGCCGAAACGTCGAAGATTAAATCGTCCGTTGTTGCTGTTTTCACTAAGGGTTTTTTTCTTCTCAGTTTTATATATATATATATATATATATATATACTCCGTTTCCCACTAAGTCTGATCGAAGCCGACACCCCTGTCCGATGGAGCCAGTCAAGCGGTGGAAGCAATGCATTGTCATCGCGTCTTTGTGCTTTCGCATTTTACATGTTATTCCAATCACGCACTTTCAATGCAGCGCGATCTTGCGCTTCTTTTTCTTTTCTTCTTTTGGCCGATTAGTAGCTTGTGACATAGCCTACTCTATACCCCCAAAGCCTGTCAGTTTGACGACGGAGCCATAGAGTGCCCGGTCGCAGACTTGAGCGCCAGGATCTGGTAGCACAGAGCATCAAAGAGCCATTTCTCGGGGAACGTGGACGTCAGCGCACAGCTTTTGCAGCGGCGAGGACCCGAGAAACACTCGTTCGGGAGGAGAGTGTTTCGGAGTCTCGCCGCAGCGGGGCGCCAGTCACGTGGCTCTTCTCTCATCCGTTGTCTGCCGCTCCACCTTTTCCATTTCGGCTGCCGCTTGCCGTTGCGATCCGCCAGGCTTTGTCAGAGGTTATGTTTGAGATCGTAAACGCACGAAGACGACGAGCGCGGTTACAACGTCGTAACGTAGCGTCGACAGCGGTGTCAAAGCATGTAGAGGAAATCGAAATAGAACAATACTGCACCACGCATCGGTACGGCCAGACGCTTAACTGCGGATTATTCGGCTTTCCTTGACTCGAAAGAAAAACGCTACACCGTGATCGATACGCGGCCAGTACACCGTTATTCAGCGTGACATTCCACTGGCGAGGCTTACGTAAAGAAACGAACTCGCGAACAAAAGCGAAAGCGCGAAGAAAGGTGCGTGCCCGGGAAGCGTACTTTGCATCCCTCGGCGTGAAGCGCTGCTCCGATGGCACTTCCCAGGCCCGCCGCACCTCCGGTGACAAGGGCGACTTTTCCTCCTAGATCCGCCATGGTGCGTCGTCGTCAGGAAAACGGTTGCAGGCACCGTGACGCGCGAATGCTCAATGGACCCTTTATGAACGGCTTCCTCGATAAGTTATCAAACTCCGTTTCACCTTATGTCCGGACGAAGCGGACGCTACGATCTATCCCAGCTAATCCCGCTGTGTGAACGTAATCTGTGATACGCTTTCCGCGCGTGGCTGTGCCCCCTCTCCAAGTGCAGGTGACCGGCACAGGTAGTATTGGCTCCGATGACTCGTAGCATCCGCTGCGCTCGCACGTAGGTGAAACGGAGTACCCCTCTCTCTTTCCCTCTTTCCCTCTCTTTCTGGCTCTCTGCCTCTGTTTCTCTTTTATACGCTTTCAAACCTGTTCACGATTACTGCGAGTGTTTCCTGGTCATTTGCATTATATTCTAGAACTTTGTCCCTGAGTACAGGAGGCGGATTACGAGCTGTGATAATAATACTACTACTAATAATATTAATAACGATAAAATAATAACAACAAATGATCATTATTCTTTATTATTATTACTATTAATAAAGCAGGATTGTGCATTGAGCCGTAGATTGAGCATTATTATTCAGGCATCAGCTGTACCAGAGCACGAAAAAATAAACGAATGAATGAATGAAACTGATTTGGGAATGGCGATGAATGTTGTACGCGACTCGGTGTTCGTGAGAATACCATTTTCGCGAATTTCCCGACTTTAGAAAATAACCCGTTAAATTGATCACGCGATTGGTAAAGAATACCCCCCCCCCCCCCTCCCCCATAGCGTATCGCTCCAAAAACATGTTGCGCCCGCTGACACCTCCCGTGAAAAAAGTTCGCTTATGCCCATGCGTGAGTGGACGCGTGGGACAGCCTGCGGAGAGACTGAAACTGAGTGAGGCAACATTAAGATTCTCGAGCCAAGCTTGAGGACGCTTACAGATGACACAAGCTTTCTCCTCGTCCTTCTCCTTGACTCTGTTTCTCCTTACAATGGTCATTAGCGGATGTTACCAGCCACCTCCGCCAATTCAACGTAGCACGTGACAGCACGTCCCCACGCCCCTCTCAAAGCTCACGTGACACTCGTAAAGCATTGAATTGACCTTGGTGGCTCGTAGCAGCCTCTACGGCCTGTCGTAAGATACGAAGGAAGCCTCTCTCCCAAACGACGGTGGAACGATAGCAGGTTGCGTCTCAAAAACAATGGCGAAGCAGTGGGAAGCCAGGAAGCGTCATTGGAACAACGTTTCGCCGCGGGGCATGTGATGCCTCAGGTGTTTGTAAGTTGTAATGCTCAAGTCCCACAAAAGCGACAAACAGAAACAAACGACGGCGACAAGCCTCAAACCAGAGTCTTTATCGCGATTTGACAGGCTTTGGAGAATAAAGGAGGCTATGCTCTAATACAAGCACTATGCACGCGAGGGTATCTTTGGCAGGCCTGCGACCACTCCTGTTTATTTCACGAGCACCGAACGCCTAAACACCTGCCCAAAGTATCATCGCGAGCATGTTGCGCGTGTTTGAGGCTTGTCGCTGTCGTTTGTTTGTGTGTCGCTCTAGTGAGACTCGGGTATTGTGCCGCTGCAAATCGAGTGATGTCTGCACCCCGGATCGAAAAGCACCGGCCGTGCTAACAAAAAAAAGAAAAGAGGAGTTTTGTTAGAGCTGCTCTTTCTCCTTCCTCGATCATGTTGCGCAGCATGTTATTCATGGAACGATAGAAGTATGAAAAGCAACAAAAATATTAACCAAAAACTTTTTTTGTAGTTATAGAAAGCTTTTGTGTTTCGGTGTTTATCACGCATTTGCCAACCAATGTCTTAACAACCTTTTTTTTTTTAATAAATACTCGGTATGTATATCAATTTGTAGAGACGGCTAGAGCAAATATTATTGCAAAACGTCGACCACATGAAATATCTCGAAAGATACAAGTCCGTAAATTTCGCAGACAGACGCTCAAGGTGCCATGTTTGAGCTTTCATAAATTAAAAGTAACGTAATCAGGAACTAATGTTTTTTAGGAGAACTCCCCAGCACGCAGACATTGTTTCTGAAAGTTATTGGACTCCTACGTGCAAATTTTTAGAATAGCGTACCCAAAAATATTTGCTAACGCAAAGAAATAGCAGTGTCGTCATGCTGGAATTCAAAACGCAGTTTGGGCTTGCGCATGCGCGACAGCGACGACGCTAGTTTTTCTGTACAAAATTCTTTTTGGTACGTGATTAAATAAAAAGAATACCTAATTTTATTAAAGAGAAACTGAAGCGGTTTTCACAAAAGGAGTTAGTGTGAGTTGCAAATCTATTTTTATCCCATGATTCTGAATATGGTAACAATTTGGCACAAAAACGTTTCTAAACGCAAAAATAACAGGCGGAAGACAATTTTAAGACGCCGCCGCGCCTCAGCATTGGCGGAATCGCATGTGACGTAGCAACGAAGCTCTACCAGGTTCTGTCGATTACATGCCTAAGCCTGTAATGCTTTTAGAGGCGTGCGTGTTTGTTTCGGGTCATGGGAAAATCCCGAGGCTGGACAAAACCAGAGGACCCTCGTCGTAACCCCATACGCGTTCGAGCCGCTGGCGAAACGTGGGAAGCATCTCCGTAAAGACGCCAGCGGTCAAGGGCAACCGTGGGACTCCCAACCACAGGTGAGCAGCATGGCGTCTTCGGTCCGTGTCTGCAACGCTGGCAGGTATGTATCCTTATCTATGAGTGCTGTATTACAGCTCAAGAAGGGAGAAATTGGTGATGCGAGTTCTCTTTGAATGGATTTTTGCACGGCGGGGCTATCATCGTCTGGCAGCATGCAGAGCGCACAGAAACGTGCAGTTTGGAATGTTTTTGGTTTCTCTAATAGTAACTTGGCTATGGGCCTGTTGCAGTGCATCTATTGATATATGCCACGATAATGAACAAACTTCCTTTTAATCGGAAAGCATAAAACGAAGTGACCATGCAGATAAAAGGGCCACGACTTGCGGCTGAACTATTCACGTTATAAATGTTCCGGGAGCGTTTTTGTCGCTGCTTTATTCGGGTGATTAGCATATTTAGCAAGCGTATCAGTGAACAACGTTTTACCTGGTCAATATTTTGCTCGAGCGCTTTCAATGTACACTGAAATTACGAAAAACGATGTAAAAATCGCCCAGGTGTTTCCCCAGAGCTTTTTGTTTATTTTTCTAGAACCACCCTTGCAACACCCGATATCTGGTTCAATGCTCATAATAGAGAGTTTTAGTAGATCGTTTCCATGACTCCGATAACGATACCCGATACTCCGCCGCCGCCTCCCTTGCGCATGCATTGTATTGTTATCGGGGCTATCGGAGGTATCGGAACGATCTACGAAAACACTCTAATAACTCAATGTGATGCCATACGGCGGACGTCTTTTTTTCTTTTTCTTATCAAGCGTTTATTTATTTATTTATTTTTAGTTCAAGATGCAGTCCAAACAAATTATTGCAGCTTTTTTTATTAGATGACGCAATGATTTGACAAGTAAAATAGTTCAATGCTCCGAGAACAATTACCAGAACAATGCTCAAGACAACTTGCATACTGTTTTATATTGAAGAATTGTTGCTTCGGAGAATTTACAATGGTTGGGCACTAATAAAGAATGCATATGCCCCCCCCCCCCTCCCAAAAAAACTAGCAGCAATAAAAAAAAAAAAAACGATCACGAAGCAATGTGTCACTACGGACGAAATATTCAAGCACGTGTGCCTAAACAAGACGCTGTTGGACATTTCGTTAGAAAGCAGAAAGCATAACCGGTTACAGACGACCGTGTACCGACTCTACTATTCAGAAGTCAGATAAACATACACACAAGTACAAAAAAGCAAGCACAATTTTTGTTTTTCTTCTGCCACTGAGGTGGTGTCATAAAAATTACTTGTGTGGTGAAATATTCTCCTAACGTGCACCAATATCGGTGGCAGAATTCGATGTTCATTAATAACCTATGATCGTAACAAAATAATAAAAAATCGATCAATCTCATGTCGCGCAATGTCCAACGAAACAGTCTGCTCAACTTGTCATTGGTTTAGCTCTTCGGGCGGATGTGCTATACTGCACACCGGCAGTCTGTTCCGCTGACATGGAAGCGTCCTTGTAATGAACAAAGAAAAAGTTTATTAAGTTGCGTTGTCTCCATGGTCCGCGCAAAATTCCCATAAAAAAATGGTCAGTTCACCGAATTTTGATATGTCTACTATTCTCGTTTTCACCTCAAGAACCGTAGTAAAAAGAGTCCAGCTCCTCACGGAGCGTTACTAATTTTCCCTTTCATGTAGGGAAATAAGATATATATAGGTGCATTTTAGATTAGATATATGTTATCTTACCAAGATGTACACGTTTCTAAGGTTGAAAGTATCGCTTCTTCCTCCGACAAGCAATCTTGTAAGAACTACTTCGCCCGGCGTATCAACAATCCGCAAAACGTCCTTTTTTCTTCAGTTCAAAACGAGTATAGAGGTATCCAAGGTACGTGCAGGCTTCAATTCACAGTGGTGTTCAGGGAGAAAACAAATCTTAATTAGCAAGGGTAACACATCATTGTGTAAAGAAAAGTATAGGTCACACTGGCCCCAATGGGCTGGTGCTCCGTGAAAATTCCTATAGCTGCCCAGAATACAAGTTGTTTGCAACATTGTCTGCACATTACAGAGAAATGCTCAGTGGCCACATTGGTCTCTATCTTTGTTGACACAGTGTTGTCACAAACAGGCATGCAAAGAGACGAGAGGCAGACTAGCTCTAGAGACCATTCTTGGTTAGTGCTACGCAGCTCAGCAGCCAAAGGAGACGGATAATTATCTTGTGAGAAGTTCCCTGGCGAATGTGAGCTCCACAAGAGGCCCAGAACAGGAATATAAAAAGTTAGCAAAGTAAGCTCAATCAATTACCAAAAGCTGACAAATCCAGTATATCGTAACATGTCAGGCAGGAGTTTGAAAGGCGGAGTTTGAAAGGAAACTCAAAACACGATTTAACAAATAAGGTTTGCCTTAAATGTTATGATATACTGGATCTGTCAACACTTGTTAATTGAGCCAGCTTACTTTGCCGTATACTTTTTGTGTTCCTGTTGCAGGCATCTTGTGGAGGTTACATTTGACTGAAAATTTCTCACAAGATAAGCAATCTCCCTGGGCTGCTGAGCAGCAAAGCACTAACTAAAGATAGTCTCTGAAGCTAGCTTGTCGTTAGTATGACCAAGTACGACCACTGTGGCATGCTGGGCTAGAGTACCACTAGTCCTTAAAACAGGAACCCTTCAATGGTAGTCTAATGCAACATAGGTCTGGCAAAAGGTTTTTTTTTCAGTTTAAAAGAAAATAATGTCACATGTTTTTTGAGATATAGAATTACCGGTTGTCGAGGGTCCATGAGATAAAGCTTGACAAAAACCTGCTACGAATATTTTTTTTAAATTCTCGCCCGAACTTCGCATAAGTTTTACTTCTTCAATTTTCATACAAATACCGGGCACAGTGCAAAAACAATTACAGCAGTAGAACGCTAAAGGTTTTGTTAAAATCTAACACAGTTTAAAATAATCAGCACAAAAACTTTCAGCTCAAAACTGCTTTAAGCTTAAGTAGTTCTAGTAAACCAGTTTGCATGTGTAACACAGAAAAACGATGTCGGTGCAGAATGTTGTATTTTATATTCCCGGGGTCCTCAAAGTTGCGTCAACGCAAGAGGTAAAACAAAAACATGTTTTCCATTTTTTTTTAGACGCAATTTTTTTTCTCACGAAAACAAAATAATATCTTGCAAATGTAAGGTTCATTCACATGACTGTCCGATCTGAACACACACAGTAGTCACTGGCAGAGTGACAGCGGCAGAGAGGTCCTTCAGTTGTTCGGCCTCCAGCGCGAGCTGTCTTACTTCGACAACGCTTAGGCGTCTCGTCAGCCTCGAGCGTACACGTGCAGCCGAAGCACAACGGAAGGCAACATGCACATGCTGTAGGTCAGAATTTAGAAGAGACACCCTGTCAGCGAAAATGATAAAACGTGTCAGTGAGTAGTGAAGTGAGCGCGCTTGATTTTAGCAGCCTACCAATTTTATACCTACTTCGCGAACATGCTGCGTGAGCTTGACGTTGATCTGCGTCACTTGATGTCTGGCGCTCAAGTGGGGCTGGGGCTTAAAGGGACACTGACGGTGTACTTACGCTCGCCAAGGTTTTTATTTGTGCATGACACATGAAAGCCCAACTACCCGGAACAGAATTTGCGGCTCGAAATTTGTTTTCTTTCCGCCCGAAAACCGCCGGTCGAGTACTGGCCGGTTTGAGTCGCGCTCCCTCTCTTCTTCGTGGTCACGTGCCGTTCTGTATGGTTTAGACACAACCACCAAAGATAATCCAAGTCGTGGGTCTTCGAAGGTCCACACTCGATACAATAAAGGGACAAAGATATGATACCTATTTTTTGTGGCTTCTAAAAAAACTGAAAATACGTTGATTGAAAACAGAGGGTTGCATAGCCCACGTGACTTTCGGTAACTTTCTCCTCCTGTATTTCTTCTTCCTCCCCAGTCCAATTTCGGTTTCAGTTTCAAGCAGTTACATTTTTTTTTACTTTATTATATATATACGTGACACTGTAACAAAATATTGATGGGGTAGTCTCCTGAAAAAATATTGGATCGCCTAAAAAATGTTTAAAAACATTTTGGGGAGTGTCAGTGGCTTTTTAAAAATAGATGGCTTTATATGTCTTTGCACCAATTACTACCTTGTTCTTTTTTATCAACACACTTGCAAATGCAGTGAACGTTTCGCTTTGCGAAAAGGCGTGGGAAAACATTTAAAAGTGCATTTTCTAGGCTCGATACGTTTTATAAAATTTAGAGTTCTATTTTTATTGTAAACACTATGATGTTCAGCTGATGTTGAAAGAGGTACGGTGAACTCGTCAATCTGCATGCAGGGTCAGCTTTGTATTCAGAGCCACTTAATGTGCATCATTGCCAGGTGGAAAATAAACTGATTTAATTTGATTAGGAAGGGGCAGCACGTCCTACAAATATGCAAACTGTTTCTTTTCTCATTTTTGTGTTGTTACAGTTCCGGCGTTGGTTCCTGGAAGTTGTAGTACCGAAGGCCTTGTGCATTCGTAGCCACCAATGCCGCGCCGTTTTGTCCGTCTTCCAAAAGCTTGATGACACCTCGCGCGACATCCTCGGGTCTGTCAAACAAAAATGGGACGTAAGTGTGAAGGTTGCGTACCTTCCCTTCGATGTACCAATCGGAAAAATGGGGAGTTTTTGTACAATGCTCCGATAACTCTGATAACGGTACCCGTTTCTCTGCCGACGCCTTTGTGCATGCTCCGTATCGTCATTGGGTATCGTTATCGGAGGTATCAGAACGATCTACTAAAACTCCCTAAAGTCACCGTCGCGCTGGTAATACATCGTACAAGAAGCACGGTGTTTGCTGCAGGGTGTTTCCACGTCACATGATACAATGATGGTACGGGTCACATTTTGTATATTTATGTAAAAATGTGTTAAAACCAATTTAGTGAAAAAACCCGAGACTGCGGTAATGCCAGACGACGACAAGGAAGAGAAGGAGAACCTTGGCAACGGGTTTTTCACTAAAATGTTTAATATACACCAGCTTACTTGCGCCCTTACGTTCTGCTTGTTAAAACCACGTTATTGGGAGGATACGTATTTAGCTATATGCTAACGACGTAGCTAATGTTCTTTCAGAAATTGAATTTCGAATCTCCAGGCGTAGAAGATTGCCAAGGTTTCGCTATGGTAATGTGCACAGCCGCCAATTTCACTTTGAAGCAGTGAAGTACCCCTTTAAAGAAGTCACTGTAAATTGTTAAGGAAAGTTAAGAAATAAATAAAAAGTGGTGCTTTTTTTTTCTTAAATATTGGAGTGCAATTTTGCCACATTTAGAGGAATGAACTGCATTTCTGCATTAATAACGAAACTACAGTGACCTTTAAGCATATTTTCTTATACATTCATAAAATCCATTTAAAGATCATAATTTTGATATATTTAGCGTCTTTTTAAGTCAAGTACTTTGTTGGTAAATCATATGTGAATGTCTCTCTGACACGTATTTATTTTACGTGTTTCGTAAATTGTTTTGAACAGAAATTCTTTATTGTCCCTTCTAATGTAGTACATGGCATAAACTTTTTGTAAAATAAGAACAAGTTATTACTGCGTGCACGCTTCGGTGTGAAATCGACGGCTATGCGCATTACCGTAGCGAAACCTTGGTAATCTTCCACGCCTCGAGCTTCGAAACAATATATCTCCGGAAGAAACTTAGCCGCGGCGTTCGCATATAGCTGAATGCACCTCCCAAACGTGGCATTCACATAAATGTTTTTTTTACATAGCTATTATATATACTACCTGGACCATCATTGCACGATTTGACATGGAAATACCCTGCATACATGATGACACAATTATCTGCGGATCGACTCGCCCATAGCATGCATGGGCCAAGCATGTTGGGTGGATGGATGGAGAAATGGTAATGGCCACCGCTCTTTGTAACGGGCAGTAGCTTGTGCCCCCTAGCCCAAGTTTGCATCATACGGATGTATGCTTCCAACTTGATCACAGACAGTTTTCGTATGACCAGTGTGGCAAGACCAGGCATCAGAGAGTGCCTCTAGGCTGTCTTTTGTCACGCGGTTTAATGAAACCCAGTTTTTCGTCTCGCCAAAACTAAGAATCGTAAATAAAAATTAAATCTCTAAAACTTGGTGAGAATGTGACACTACAGCGATGGTGATAGAGCGCGAATGTGTGCGATTATGGCGTTACCTGGGTCCAAAGATAAGGAAGAAAGACGAAGAGTCTCTATGAGCTGACGCGCCCACCTAAGCCTAGTATTTGTCTAACCAAGGAAGTACATTATAAGCGCCTGTAACATTTATCTTAGAAATAAAGAAGAAGAAAAAAGAAAGTTGTTAGCAAGAAAGACGATATTGTTTTCTTTTCTACTGACACTTTTTTTATTGAAAATTAATTTTACATGGGCCTACCATGTTATTTTTGTTTTTGGATTGGTGAATATTAGGCTTAGCAGCTGTCGGCTCAGAAAAACATGTTGCTTTTGTACCTCATCTTTTGATCCAGTTAGCATTATTCTCTCAGTCCTTTGCATTATATTTCCACGGCTGGGGCGTCACGTTCTCACAGAGTGTCAGCTGTCTGCGATGACTAGTTCCTTTATGCGTGCCGGAAAATATTTCCTTTTCTGGATCCTAGCCGGCACTCTCTGAAATATTGAGCGAAAATGAATTCATGCTCTAATAATTCCTATTTAAGAACAACCAAGACATGTTCATTATAAATTAACGTTTTCTTTTTGTACGCATAAGACAATAGAGCGTTAAAAAAATGTTCTTTTTCCTTTTAATGTCAAGCTTTCTTATTGTTTTTGTTTCATTAAAAATATAAAAACGTAGAGCGGAATTAAAGTGGTGAGTCAACATGGCATGTAATCAAATATCAAGTATCACAGACAAAACATTAACAATATTACGATAATGTCATTAATGTGAACGGGCGAGCGAGCAGGACAAGAATGAGGATACTAATCCCTGGAGAAAGGGAACAAGGATGACAAAGGACAAACACAAATCTCTAAACACAGCTAGGTGACAATACAATTCATCAAACGTTCAAGCGAGCTGGACAAGAATGACGATAATAATTTGTGGAGAAGGGGAACAAGGTGGACAAAGGACAAACACAAATCTCTAAACACAGCTAGGTGACAATGCAATTTATCAAACGTGCAAGCGAGCTGGACAAGAATGACGATAATAATTTGTGGAGAAAGGGAACAAGGTGGACAAAGGACAGACACAAATCTCCAAACACAGATAGGTGACTGGTGCGCTACCGAAAAAATCCGCATGGTGTTGGTGTTCGACTTGTGGCAGCTGATAAAACCCGTTTGCTCTATTGACGTCTAGTTCCTCGTTAGCCCAGTGCGTGCGATGTCGGGTTCCCTAGGAGCGGTAGCAACGGCCATGCTTGGCCGCGGTTCTTCTGTTTATGAAACTGCTGAAGGGTACAAGATCATTCTGCCACTCCTACCCACCGGTTATCTGGCAAAGAACGCTTTTTTTTTTGCACTGTGATATGCACAACCGGCCATATCGATTTCAAGATTTCAAGTAAGAATTGGAAAGGCTCAACACCCTGCAAGAGTTAGCGTCGGCGGGAGCCCACCAAATGAATCACGTATGGATGATTCGGATGCACTCGCTTGCCGCAAAGCAACGGTTGGTAGATGCCAAGGCACTTCGGATGAAAGGTGGGCGTTGCCTCCTCTTTGACCCCACCAACACGGAGGGGAAGATCAAGCTGCATTGGGTTTCCTATAACGTGCCAAACTCTCAGGTACGCCGACACCTTGACCGCTTCAGAAAGATGACGGACATTAGTCGCGACCACTTCCGTGAGAAGGGATTTGAGAACGTCGAGTCTAATACGCGACTAGTCCAAATGACGGTAAAGGAAGGTAGCGACTGTGCACGACACTCCGCATGAGTTCCGCATAGAAGGATGCAAAGTACTTGTCATCGTTCCTGGAAGGGTTCCTTTGTGCCTCCGGTGCCGCCTAACTGGGCATATCCGCCGGAACTATCGGGTTCCGCATTGCAACAAGTGTCATCTCTACGGACACGATGGTAAAATCTGCGTACAGACGTACGCCTTTATCGCCCGAGAACGAAGAAATTAAGACGTGGATGCCTAAATGACAGATGAGGAGGAGGCTGTAGGTACACCTGCAAGCGACCTGCCAGAGGGGCAGCCCGGTGATGAACCGAGGAAGCCAGCCGCCACCCCTACAAGCGACGAAGTAGCGTCTTCGTCCCAATGTGCCAAGGAATCTACGGGTGTGGTAAAGTAGGCGGATGAAACATCGCCACCGCCCCCCACAGTTCGATCACAGTCGGTCGAGGAAGTGGCAAAGGCTACCGACGACGACTTCGAGCACCGCCTACTCGATGAAGCCGACGAGGAGACAGGTCAAATGGACATGATCGACGCGTCGGTCCAGTTAGGAAAGCGGACGCTCAACAAGTCTCCCCAAACGGAAAGGCACGAAAAAAAGCCGGGTAACAACAAAGCCATGTACTGCCGACGATGTACGTAGACACAAAGACTCAAAGTGAGTGTACAGTGTATTTGTCAACAGGTTTTCTGAGTTTTTTACTTTCCTTCTTTTCTGTTCTTCGTAACCTTTCAGGAAAGTGTGTAACCCCCAGTTAGTGTCAAACAAACAAATAGAGTAAGAACATAACGGAACTACTATCCCCAATCCGTATCGGAAAACTCAACATTCGAGGCCTCAACTCAGGGAAAAACAGTGCCAGTTACAGCGTTTACTATGCGAAAAAAAGATTGACATACTTGTCATTCAGGAAACTTAAATGTAGCATGACGAAAACAGTGAGCGTGCTTTAAGACCTTTTTTTTAAGCCGATACGATGTATGTATCAGCCATGCTACGGGTCTCTCGGCGGGTTGCGTCTTATTTCTTCCAAAAGCAGTAGAACTGAAAGATTCGAATATAGTCACAGACGCAAGGGGCCTGTTTATAATGTGCGACTTCACCTTGTACATCAAGCGTGAGGGGTTCTGTGTATGTACGCACCGAAACGAGTCAACGAAAGATGTTTGTTCTTTTCGAACTTGGATCCATACCTGGAATGCCGGTGTGCGGTCGTCCAATTAGGGGACTAGAATAGTATGCAGAAGTGAGGAAAGAACGCCAGGAGAGCTGCATACAGACCGGAGCGTGAAATTTTTGAATAACCTATTGAATAAGTATAGCTTAGAAGACGCTGTGCAACTGACACATTCGAAACCTGAACTTCGGTTCACCCATTTTCAATCATCTTCACAGGCCCATTTGGATCGTATTTACGTATCAGCCGATATTGCCTGCGAAGTAACAAACTACGACGTGAGACCGATATTATTTAGTGATCACTGCTTAGTTACAGTGACCATGCGTAGTAAAAATATGCAACCAAGAAAAAAGTCCGATAGGGAGCTGTGAAAAATTAATGTTACTTCTCAAGAATTATATTTTTATTGAGCAAGTAACGAAGACTTGTAAAACTTTTACTGTGATAAAACAATTTAGTTACTTAGAGAGATGGGAATTATTGTAAGCAGGAAATGAAAGAACTCGCAATAGAAAGGTCCTCACAGCTCAGATTTTTGGTCTCAAACGAAGAAAAGGTGCTGTGCAAATGCTGGCTACATTACTACAGAGTGAAAACGATAAACCGGGGTCATGCATTCGAGACATAAAGCAAGCCAAGGCCAAAACTGGACTCCTGCCAGCAAGAGCGTTATCGCGGAGCAGTGATACGAGCGCGATCCGAAAGGTTTCTTTTAGGGGACCAGCCACAGAGCGTGCTCTAGGCGAGGAAAAAGAGTACGCGCTCGGAAAAGAAATCGCCAGTATTGAACATAACGGGTCCATCAGTAATGAGAAGGATATCATCCAAGGTGCCTTCAATGAACGTTGTTGTATAACGCCTTCAGGGGCCACACAAAACCAAGCGGCACAGCGACCTTCGAGGACACTTCGTAATGTGCCGGTGTTTATCAAGAGGCGAAGGAAGAGTTGGAAGAACCAATAACAGAAAGCGAGATAGGACGCGCGATTGAAAGCCTTCCTATGCATAAGACGCCTGGCCCAAACAGTTTAGGGTAGCACACACGTCACTCGCTCTATTCTCGAAAGTTGTAAATCCGAAGGAAACCAAGTGGCGTTAATTCAAATTGATTTAGATAAAGACTTTGATCGCGTGTGTCACGAGTTTTTTTTTTTTAAATCCCAGAACGCGCGAACGTCGGAAAAATTGTTTTAGAGTGTATCACAATGGGCCTAAGTACTCCGGTTATACGACAAAACTACTTGCGAACAACGCTTTACCCCCTAAAATACAAGTGTTGTCGTCGGTACTCGAGAGTTGTCCTTTGTTCCAGTTGTTTTTCGCTTTATACCCTTCTGTTTAAGTGTGTTGCGCAACGAGCTAGTTCACGGGTATGTCATTAGAGACGCAGAAGCTAACATTTCGGCGTATGCGGATGATGTTGCTGTCTTCTGTTCTGACGAAAAAAGTGCCGCACATGCCCTGGAATTATGCAAGGAATTCTGCGTCTCTATACAGGCGCTGTAATTAACATCAGCAAATCCAGCTGCTTATGGCATGGCGAGTGGGCCACACGACCCAGTAGTTATGAAGGAATTCAATGGAGTTGCTCGCCAAACACGTACCCTGACGCACCTTGCCAATATTTAAGGCAGAGAACGCCGTATTGGCAAAATGTAACTTCTGAAATGAAAGAGCGCGCAACAAAATGGGTTTCTCGTGACCTGCCAATTTTAACGAGACCTGTGATATGTAATATAGTTTTGACCGCGAAGGTGTGGTACGTGCTCCAAGTTTTGAGTTGTCCGCGAATATGTACACGAAAGATGCATCGTGTGTTTGGCTTGGTTGTGTGGGGAATGCAGGTGATCCAATGCGAAGAGACAACCTTTTTCGTCGCATCCAAAAGGATGGCCTAGCATTGCCGCGTCTGTTTCTCTGTCAGACCATTTCGCGTTTCCTCTTTCTGAGAGACTAGACAAACCACCTCATTCAGCTGATGCTCCAAACGAGGCTTGCCTCCCACCATCCTTCTTTTATTGTTTCTTCGGACATTGGTCGTCCTGCTAACCTGGCGGGCTTTGTGAAAGAAGTGGTTGACTCTTTAAATTTTTTGACGGCAAGGTACTCACTCGCTTGATTACTTGTGCACCATTTCGCGAAAGAAGTTGTACCGCGATCTTCTTGATAATTTATTCCCCGCACCAATGTATCGGACGCTTTTTGCGGATAAGCCACGGAAAGATGTGCTGGTTCGTGTGAAAAAGATGTGTATCCCTCCCTGAGTAAAAACCTTCTTTCGTTTGCATAGTGATATCTTGCCTGCGTAAATCTTGCTGGGTAAACAAAACGGGGCATGATCGACCATGGGGGCATCAACAGCCCGTTGCGTAAAGTCCCTGAAACTGCTGAACATTTTTTTTTTTGTACTTCTGTGACGGAGAGTTTTTTGTAATGTGTTGATGTGAACTCTTAATAAAGAATTTTGTATAATAACCCACTCTATCCGTTTTTTACCTACCGAACAGCACGGGAGCCTACCTTATGATATGATTATGCTCCTCGGTTTGCTTAGCCTCTGGAAGTCTAGTATGACTGACAGACCTGTGGAGAGACACCCCAAGACAGTGCGCAACTTTTTTATAACTTAATTGCGCTGATTGGCTGTGTATACGGACGAAACGATTGCCTGCCGGAGTGGATAAGAGTGTGCAATAGCCTAACACAAAGTACCCTTGCACATAAGTACTGGGCCCAATTTAAGAAAAAAAAATGTAAATATGTGTAAATACCTTGTACATATGTTTGTTGGTTGACTAAATATACAGTATTAAAAATATCTTCAGTCGCCCAGTTGGCACAGCGCTCCACTGGAAGTGAAGAGGTCACTGGTTCGATACCCGGACCAGGCTGATTTTTTAGGTCGCGCACAAGTCCCCTAGCTGTGTTTGGAGATTTGTGTTTGTGCTTTGTAATTTTTGTTCCCCTTCTCCATGGGTTATTATTAGCAAACTCAGGGTGTAAAAAAAACAAAAACAAAACATGTTTTTATATTTTTAAAGTTTCTTCGTTCGATACTTTTGTTGATCTCACGGTTTCATGTCAGGCAGATATCTTAACACAAAGGCTAGCTGTTTTTTCTAATATATTTTGTGTTCACGAGACGCATCTGTTTGTAATCCATTACCTTGTTTAATGAACCCCATTTAAAAGGTAAACATTATAACGAATGATTCGTCAAATAAAAATTCTAGAACTTGCACAAACTATATAAGGTGTATAAATGTTCTTCTATGATCTTGTGTGTTCTTATATATATATACATGTGTGTGTGTGTGCGCGTGTGCGTGTGTGTGTGTGTGTGTGTGTGTGTGTTTGTGTGTGTGTGTGTGTGTTGTGCGCATTCATGTATATTTATTTTTCACCGTGGAAGGCACTTACTGTTGTACTCGTTGCTTAAACTTGTCGGTGCCTCCGAGTGTTTTCTTGTCCGAGGACAAATGGTTAGTGATTTGGGTCCACAATGGTGTGTCTATTGGGTCGGGACAGAGGCAGTTGACCTTAACTCCGTGGCGATCAAGATGAAGCTTGGACTGAAATAAAAAAAGGGATTCGTCCGTACGTTACCGCTCATATTACGAAGGTGAGGCAGCTGTTAAAAGGGTCGTGCGAACCTTTTTGAATTGTCAGTAAGTGTAGCTCAGAATGAATCCTTAAATTTCAAGCTTACAAAACACGCGTTAGCTTTTTTTTTCACCATAAAAATGAAAGAAAAAAAAAACAGAGAAAAAAAAAACGAGCAGCATTCACTTCTTCAATTAGCACCACCTAGAATAATCAAGGTTCTGAATATTAGAACTTGCATACCCCAAATGCCCTGGTCATGGCGACAACAGCAGACTTGGACGTGTTGTACGCAGGTGCAGGAGGCGCTACGTAGATGCCTGAAAGACGGCCCCAACTTGTTATTCCCGACGGCGGAGAGTAGTAAACGGAAACTGCGTTTCATGTAACCCCTTGAGTGCCGCGTTCAAGTTACACTCGGGCACCCCCCCCCCCCCCCCCCGGCAGACCCCCTGCCGAGCCGGAGTTTTCAATTTATTCCCTGCCGCTCCCAACTAAAATCAAACTGACTTTTCTTTTTTAGCGCAGCTTGTAGGCGCCCGTTTCCGGTTTGTGCCGTGTCGCCGTCGGCGTAACCGCGTGCGTTGCATTACGGGACGTTTCCCTGCTAAAGCTAGCGAGGAAATTTTCCCGCTAAATTTAGCGGGGATATTGAAGTCATGTGGCCTCAACACCAATTCAGTTTCCCCGCTAAATTTAGCGGGGAAAATGACATTACGACTTCCACCCATGAACAAATTCAGCGGCAGGAGGAGAGGAGGAGGGGAGGAGGAGGACATACCCTCCCCTTTGTACCTTACCCTCTTCCTCCTCAAGAGCTGCGCTCTAGCTTCGATTACGGATGTTTGTAAACCTCTTTAATTTTTGTTTCTCTTTTCGCTCGAAGTATTTATAGAAAACTTATTGAACCATATTTTTTTAGTTGTGGTTTTGCCTTTTAATACCGGGGTGGGGGGTTACTTCCTCCGTATGCGTTTCTGTAGGAACATTGTTTTTGAATAAAGAAACCACGCGCTTCCACTTCGCGCTCCTTGACGGGTGATGAAATCCAGAAACTGCTAATGAATTCAGATTTTGGTGACAGTGAAATTGAGCGTACTTTGTATAGTGATGAAAGTGATGCGAAGTGCCACTTTGCGTGGTACGGTGTTTTCAGAAATACATCACAAAGAACGATTTTTTTTTTATTTGAAAAAAGTGAGAAGTTTGTGAACTTTTTGAACGTGAAGAAACTTAATTTGGTAAATAAATGCCCGTATTCAAGCATGCAAGCGCGTTTTTTTCGTCCAAGCAATTTTTGTTTGTACAGCGGAAAAACCTTGGCACAGGGTGCACGCTGAGATGCAAAAAAAAAAAACGGCACTTAAAGGGCATTATAGAATACAATAGTTTATTTCAGACATACATGTGTCATACATATGTTTGGGGGGCTGCAGCAAAAGAAGGCAAAAAAGCCCTCTGACGAGGCCGCTAGCCCCCCCCCCCCCCCCCCCTCCCCTTCCTCCTGCCCATAGCAGTCAACAGAGACAGCATACAATAATTTAGCAACAAGACTGAAATAAACATAGGCATCAGCAAACCATTCCAATCAATATCATCAATATAAACATAAGCAATCCGTCATAATAAAAAGAAGAAAAAAACTAATAAAAAAAAATCATGAAACAAAAACCAGAGAAAACTGTATTCATTGACATTAACATCGTCATTATCAACAAAATCATCCAACGCACGTCTGATATTAACACATCACAACACTTCATAACACCATGAAAGAAGGCCATATTAAAGGTACTATATTTGCAATAAGAACACATAAAAGCCACATTAAATAATCTAAGGTAGGCGATCAGCTTCAAGGAAATATGCTCTAACTTTTTTCCTGAACGAGTGGATTGTTCTACACTGCTGTGCTATTTGCACAGTGCTTGGGTGTTTATTTAGTAGGTTAGGAATTTGGTAATCTAGTTTTTGAGTTCCATAGTTAGTTCTAACATTTGGTTTTGTATAATTGGTACTCCTAAGATCGTATTCCGCAGGTTTATGAAGATAAGTATCGAGGAAATGTGCCTCATCATGCTTGATCTGATCATAAATTACGATTGCCAATTTATGAGAGAGGTAAAATACGTTACCAGACGCCAGCACAATCGGAGTCGTTGAACCGCACCCGCACCCACACCCTACATTCAACACTCCAGATAAGGTCGTGATTTGGGAAGGCTGGTTACATCACAGTTACGTCCTTTCGATTTTGATGTATGTACTCTAATACCTGAATGTCTTGTGACCACCGCTAGACATGAATATACAATTTTCCAGCGCAATATATATATAATTATTTCGCTCAATGATACAGAAAATGGTGAATATATATCGCCGCCATAACTGCATATTAGCGTTCAAACTAATCCTCGGAAAGCGGAATTGTACAGCCTATGAAATAATGCTCTGCATTTGTATGTCTGAGGCTGCAACAAATGTTATATCACCGAAATACGTAGGATAATGACTCGGTTACAGGAAGAAAGCGTCTCCGACGCGGCAGTTAACAACGTACCGACAATTGAAGCCGTGTTGATGATGTGGCCGCCGTTGTAGCCCTTGTCTTTACCCATGTACTTGAAGCCGAGCAGAATACCCGAATACACGGACTCCTGGAGAGCAGATGACATGATTTCAGCCAAGGACACGGATTGCGAGAAAGCGGAAAAGAAATGCGCGACAAATAGTGTGTCTTCAGAACAGAGGTGCGAGTAAAACACTATAGTCACTGAGCTGACCCACCTCAAGGCTCCAGCGCGACCATCCTACCTCCGGAAGGCAACGTGCACGTGCTCAAGGTCGGGCGTTTTAAAGGGGCGCCCTGCCACTATCATCACGTCATTGACTATATCTAGCCGCACTGTTATAAGTTGCAGACATTTCCTCGTTCATGGCAAGAGCGATCACTTGTGAAAGTTTGGGTGAGAAAGTGGATGTTTCACAACGCGGGGAAGCAAAGTCCGAATGTCGGTTTTCGAAAACTTCATAGTTGATATGTCTGCTCTTGTAGATGAGATCTTAAAGGTATCGTCGGAATGCATATAACAATAAAATATAAGTGTGCCTTGTCGAAGAAACAATTTATAGCAACCACGGGCTCAAAGTGCCATAAATAGCAAGGTCGGCGAATATCACCGACCTTTTCGCTAAGTGTCCAGCCTGGAGCCCAAGAACGGTATCGAACCAGGCATAATACAAAATCGCTGTCTCTGAACTCCGATAGTGCTTCTGCTTTAAGCGAATATTTAAAGGGGCACTGAAGTCATTTTTGAAAAAGGTAGTTTTTTTTATCTTATCTCGTTTAAAATCTGTTAGTTCCCACATATTACAAAACCGCCTATTTATCTCAGGGCAATAAGAAAAACATGTGGACTATTTTCTCTTGCGGACTGCTCTGTGTGGACCAATGAAAGCCCTACAATACGCGCAGATTTCGAATTATTTTATTATAACTTGTTTCGAAGAGAGCCTGATAAGTACACATTCGGAAAAGACTCCTTTTTTTCTCTGCGGGCGAAGCCATCGCTTGCAACTCGCCGACAAGCGCCCTTCGTCGACAACTTCACTCGGAAGAAAATTCTTCCCAAAAAGTGCGTGTTGCGTTCTTTAAACGCACTTTTCACGAGGAAATAAGCTACGTACGATTGTGATGATGGGTTTGTTGGGATACTTAGATCTAGCGTCTAGACTGAGTTGTCACCACAAAAAGACGATCTCAGAATCGACTTCAGTGCCCCTTTAAGTTGACTATTGAGGTACAGACAAATGGGCATTCCCAACCTGTACCTCAACGCTTAAACTCAGCTCAACTCAGAGGCAGCTTACAGAGCTCTGGGGTGAAATTTGTTCTGTGTAATGTTTTATGTTCAGATATATAGCCGTGCATTTATTGAGTAATACCCTGAAAATGACGTTCCCGTAAAAATAAAAACGTTTCTTATTGTGTTCTGTTTTTTTTTTGTTTTGTTTTTTTTTTTTGTTCACGCGATGAATGATATACTTACAATGTTGATGGCAAACATCTTCCTCCAGTTGTCTTCAGAAAAGATGCCAGCATTATTGACCAATATGTCCAGTGCTCCAAATTTTGACCTTGTGTTCTTGAAACAGTCTGTAGCATGTGTAGTCAAAGCAAGTAATAATATCAAAAAGGTCTGTAAAGCACCCAATTATATGATCACCCAAGTTGTGGCGTAACAGATCAACCATTCTCACAAGTGTTCACACAAATGATTATTTCCCTCACAATAAGTTTTCTTTAGAGACACTGAATTGCGGCGAATGTTCGATTTGACTAACATCTGATTTGCTTTGTTAGTAGAAAAGATACTTTTTTTGACGAATCTTTTTCACTTATATAATTATATAATAAAGAAAATGTATGGCAACTTCCTAGGCAACTGTTCTGCATATTGTTAAGACCGGAGACGAAGGAAAGAATGGGGACAGGACACATGTCTCAAACTAAGCTAACAATATTTTGTGAAACCATCCTTTATATATGTCTTCTCCAGTACCCACAGCCGGACAACTGCGCACGTCCCATAGCTGACCATTAAACAATTCTGAGAAAAACCTCTCACGGAACCTAACACGCCTCGAAAGGACGTTCAAGTGACCTCAAAAAGAACACAGACAACAAAAGCCGCGAGGGTCTAGCCCTGAACCCAGAACAACTGGTTCTGGTTCAGGTATGAAACGGACGAACCCTTATCATAACACTCGTTCCCTCGGAAACACCCCAAAATTACCACGACGCGTATACGTCCTATGGCTGACCTCTACACAACACTTAAATAACCGCCTACGGAAACTAATATACACAGCGAACAAACATTTCGATATACTCTCTTTCCAGACGCCTGACGACCATGTTCACGGCGCCCTTCATCTGATAGTTTAACGCGTACCATGTGTATACTTAGTTGTTCATAGAATGGAGTGATATTACGGTTAATTGGGCTTATAAACCTGGCGATCTTCCATAGCCTTCCATACTCTCGAGTCACTAGGGGTTTTCTGATTATGATTGGTTCAGCGATGATAGAACATGTTCAAAAACATAGAGCGCACAGGTGGTCGAGCTCTCCCTCACCTACCTCACTCCTCCTCGCCTACCCCTCTGGTCAGATGACCTCCACGTTAACCAATCAGCGTCGAGCGTCTCACTCCTCCTCTCTCAGCTGTCAACCAATTGTGTGTCTAACCTCGCGGCCACGCTTTTATCCGGACTTCACGAAATGCCGAACACCTGGGCAAATAACGTTTTGCGTTAAAATGATTACAATAGATGGCCTTTTGAGAGAGATATTATAAAGCCCCTTTATAACGGAAAAGCAGCCCCACCCTTTGAAATGCCGCCTGCTATCTTGGCCCGATCCAGGGGGCGCTACAGTCGACCGCGAGTGTAAAAAAGCAAAATATGAAGATGAAGGTATGCGCGTCAGAGGAGGAGGGAGAAGGAATGCCTATGCTGTCAGAGTGCAGTGCATGCTATGAGCTCCTGCCGCCAATCAAATAACGCCGACTGTGCAACGTCACGGCTTTCATCGTCTTTCTTTGAGCCCATGCTTCGAGGCTGGTAAACCGTGACAGTTCGCTTTTAGCCTGTGTGTATGTATTCGCGCGTGTCTCAGCCTTTTACTGCGCTCTGACTCAAGTACAGGAAGGCCGTCTGCTATCTTGGCCCGATCCAGGCGGCACTTCAGTTGATCCGCAGGTGCAAAAATGCAAAACAAAAAGATAAAAGGTGTGCGCGTTAGAGGAGGAGGGGAAAGATGGCGCTACCTTTCTTATTCAGGGGCGTAATGATATTGCCTTGCCCTATCAGGTGCGGTCCTATTTACATATTAAGACGTGCGCGATATGCGGCATGGCCTTGCACGTCCCGGATCGTCTCTCTATAACATATCCAAGAAGGTGCGCAGTTGCCGAACGGCTGGTGTAGCTCAAAGTACTTGCGAACAGTTTATGTTTTACATACGAGGGCGATTAAAAAATTACCCGCACTCTGGTTATTCTTCAAAAAGCTGTTGGCCGCACCGTCTCATTCGGCGCTTTTCGTACGAAGTCGCTGTTTCTGCAGTCACTGTTGTGCAGGTTGAAATGTGTTAGTTTCAGCTTACGTCCAGACGCTGCCGACGCTACGAGGTAATGTGACCAACCAAGAAGCGCCAAAAGCGAAAGTCACTAGGACTTTTCTGATTGTGATTGGTTCAGCGATGATAGAACATGTTGAAAAACATAACGAACACCATGATGATGCGCTTTTCGCGATGTCTGATTGGTCCCATCAGTTTGTATAGCATTGACTGCGTCTGGTCGTAAGGTGAACCGAAGTACAGGGTGTTCCAAATAAAAATGTAGAAGGTTTTCTTCACCGGAAAAAATAAACTATGCATGGCCGAACGTCCATTCTAGAGGCCGGAACCTGATGCCGTAGTTTCAGCGCCAACCAGTATTTTATTCGAAAGTTATAAGTTATGTTAGCCCGTTTTCGCTTTTTTTTTTTTTTTTTTTTTTATGCGCCATGGTGCACCATGTATTAGAGAGCTCCATCGGTCATCATTTTCCCATTGACATTTTCAGAAAATCGCTGATAACTTTTGAATAAAATATTGGTTCGCGCTGAAACTTCGGAATCTAGTTTGGACCTCTAACGCTACCTTCGGGCGAAGAGTGAGCGTTCGGCGATGCATAGTTTAATTTTGCAATAAAAAAAAACTGTATTTTTTTTTTTTTTTTTTTGGGGGGGGGGGGGGGGGGACACCGTGTATACTTAAGTTGTGACGGTTCCGATTGAGGTGCGAGAAACTATAGCGAAACAACTGGTGATTTACGTGAATTAAGGAGCCATTTTTTTGTGGTCTGAAGGTTTCACTGGTGCCGATGTATATTCGAGACTTTGTGTCCAGCATGAAGAAATCGTTTTGTCACAAAGAAGTGTTTTTGAATGTACACACAAGTTGGAAGGAGAGACGCAGAGACGAAGTTGGATGCCTGTCCGCGTTCACAACTAATCAAGACATTGAACGTGCACGTGAACTGTTGATATCCGTTAGACGAGTGCCAGTGGGTGATACGACAAATTAATCTGAAAATTAGCCGAGGCCTATGCAACAGTCCACGACAGGCTTCCATCGATTAACCGCGAGTCCCGTCCGAACGTTAACCCAGCGTTCGTGGCCCGCATTGGCCTCCATTCAGTGACGTCGAAACTTCATTACTAAGGCCTTGGTGCATAGAAGGGGCTGATGCAACATACCCTAAAGTCAGGCCAATCGAAGCAATCAGTGCCGTATGATTTAATGCGTCTAAATGGTCAGTCCTAGATATCAACCTCGGAGGTCAAGTATATACGCGTATACAATAAAGATAAGATAAGTGCCAAGTGTGTTGTAGATTACAACGCCCTGATAACGACTGAAGGGAACTAAGCATGGCAATGGCATGTGTAGAGTTCCTTTCCATTTTTCGAGAACGAACACACGATAATAAAGATGTCTATATGACAGTCGCGAAGTAGTGTCACTTTGTAACCACCAATACCTTCTTTTTTTTTTTTTTTACGAGAATTGCCGAGTGCGTATGAATGTTCTGTACTTATTTTAAATGTAGATACCGCTGTTCGTTTTATTACGTCTATATATAAGCTAAATGTTTTGGGGTAAAAAATAGCGCTTGGAAACTGACCTTCCAGTTGGCCTTCATTTGTGACGTCACACTTGTAAAACACGCAGCTTTCCTTTCCGTGTCTCTGTTGGAATTCCGCTGCCGTTTTAGTTCCTTGCTTCTCGTCAATGTCTAACAACGCAACCTGCAAAAAAAGAAAGTAAGGTAAGATGCGAACTTTATTTCATAGACAAAATTTGTGCCAAGGACACGAGACAAAACACTTCCAATAGGTAGCTTTCGGTACAATGAACCTGCAGGCACAGCGATGACATAAATAAAACAAAACAAACGATCTAGATTCTAGGTAAAAAAACAAAAAAAAAAAAAAAACCACAGTGCTTCATTTTTTTAGTTTATGCGGTCAATATTGAATTTAAGCACCGTAGGTTTTCATAGAGCTTGAAGTGCATAATGAGTACGGAAATGAGGAACTATCCAGAACCATTTAAGTCGGATGTCAGTGAGAAATTCACGTTTGGTCTCTACCCCTGAAAGTATATTGGTGCATAAGAAACGATAATCACAGACACTGGCGATTTGTATGACATTGGGGTTAACAAATAATGACGGTGCGGTTGGCAGAAGAAAACTCATCATTAAGCAAAGTTTTTTTTTTTTTTTTTAAGTGAACACAGAGCAAGTTGCTGTCAGTACCCTGAGCGTGTTCTGATTGACCTCTACCCTCCTGATACGCAAAGTCAATGGATCAACCGCTTTGCTGAATTATTGTTCACAGGTCGGCAAGCGTTTACAGATCGCTGGTTTAGTGCAGAAAAACATCACGGTGAATCGCTTTCTAAATCGGGTGCTGTAAGCGATTGTAAAGAAACAATGCGGGGTGAAGTAAATAAAAATAAAAGACGTTCACAAATTTCCGAAATTAGAGCGCAGCTCTTGAGGAGGAGGAGGGGAGGGTATGCTTCTCCGTACCATTCCACCCGCTAAACTTAAAGGGGAAAATTTCCCCGCAAACTTAGCCCGGTTAAATTTAGCGGGTTAGGTTTCCCCGCCAAATTTAGCGGGAAAATTGATGTCACGTGACCTCAACACCAATTCAATTTCCCGCTAAATTTAGAGGGGCGGTAACGCCGACGTGAACCGCGGAAACGGGCGCCTAAAAGCTGCGCTCTAAAACATATATGTACCTTCCTGGTTTGTTTTAGGTGAGCAGGCCCATCAGTAGCCCTAATAGAATAGCAATGCTTTCACTCTCGAGTTTTGCAGCAATTTGACACCCACGAGTTAGTCCTTAGATAAAATCGAATTGAACGGTGCAGGGTGCTACGATAAAAGTAAATGCCTAGTGGCGAATTATCCAGCAGTTTGTATCGACGTAAAAAAAAAAGAAACGCCACACTTTCAATACACGCCCGGCCAGCGCACACCGCTATTTAGAGCGAAGTTTGCTGTGAGGAACCTATTTAAAGAGATGTGCTTCGGAACAAAAACAAGCACACCAGGGGTCCTAAACTCGTGAAACATAGAGTTGGGGCCGAAGTTCACGGGGCGCGCCGATTTGCCTATCACAACGATGACTTCGCGCTTTTTCGCCGACGTCCAATCGGCATGCTCCGCGAACTTCCGGCTCACACTTCGTGTTTGACGAGTTTGGGGCCCCAAGAAAGACGTATACTCCGTTTCCCGCTAAGTTTGAGCGAAGCCGACACCACTGTCCGATGGAGCCAATTAAGCGGAGGCAGAAATGCATCGTCATGGAGTCTTTGTGAGTTTGCAATTTACCGGTTTCACCGATCACACACTCTCAATGCACTGTGATGCTGTGTTAGACTCTTCGTTGTTCTGTCCGTTTTTACAGCGGAGCTTCGTGTCCGTGGACAAATAAATTTCGACACAACCCTCTGGGCAACTACTTCCATCTAGATGAGTGACGGCGGCAACCAGACAATTGGCTTGTCGGTCGTCTGGTTGTTGCGGTCGCTCATAGATGGCGGCACATAGTACAGCTCCGCTGCTCTTCCTTCTTCACCAAAGTGGAAAGGCTGAAAGTTTTTTTTTTTTATTGTTCCTACGTCTAAACTATAAACGCTGTGTTTTTTTTTTTTCTTTTGCGCGATAGGTTTACGTGGTGATCGTAAACGCACGGAAGCGACGAGTGCGGTTATGACGCACTTTTACTACTGTCTAATGGACTCCATTGAATCTTGGCGTCGACGGCGGTGTCGGAGCTTATAGAGGAACTCGGGATAGAACCACGCATCGCCACGGGCAAACGCTGAACTGAGGGTTATTCGGCATTCGTTGACCTCAAGCAGAAACGCTGCACGCTTGCCCACAGACGCCGCCAGCATACACTGTTCCCCATTCAGCGTTAACGTTCACTGGCGAGACTCGCGTAAAGTAACCAACTCGCGAACAAAAGAGAAAGCGCGAAGAAAGGTATAGACTATAGGAAAGCGTACTTTGCATCCTTTGCCGAGGAGCGCTGCTGCGATGGCCCTTCCCAGGCCTGCCGCGCCTCCGGTGATGAGGGCGACCTTTCCTTCGAGATTTGCCATGGCGCGTCAACGTCGGTGAAACAGTTGCAGGCACTTGGACGCGCGAAGGCTCGATGGACGCTTTATGACCAGCTTCCCCGATAAGAAATCTCCCTTTGTCTCTCTTTCTCTCTCTCTCTCTCTCTGACGGTTTTCCTCCCTCTCTCGTTTATACCCTTTCGAACCTCTACTGCTGCGAGCGCTTCCTCCATTGGAATTTAATTTTCGTGCTTTGTCCTTGGGCGCACGAAGCAGATTAGGGAAGATCGGTGACCGAGTGGGCTAGCGCGCACGAGCTGGGAGCACGTGGAGCGAAAGCTCGAAATGCGGAACCTAGGGATCCTGCGTTCAATTCCCACCCCTGCCCGTTTCGATCTGGATGAGCATCGTAACGGCGTCCGGTCGTGTATCACTGCCGCGTGATGCACGTTAAAGACTCCAGGCTAGCGGTTGTGCCGCACTTGCTAAATTTCTCATCCGCAGCTGAGAGACAAGTGACCCGTTGAGGCAGACTAAGTGCAAGCTGTATTAAACACACGCACACAAATTATATTTTTTTATGCAGATTAGGCGTTGTGATAATAATAATAATGGTACTACTACTACTACTACTACTACTACTAATAATAATAATAATAATAATAATGGTAATGAAAATAAAAATAATAAATAATAATATTTGTTCCTCTTTCATGTCTGTTTCTGAGACTTTCAGTGCCATCAAGCCATAGATAAGGCTTGTAGACAAGTTAACAAACTGACACAGATAGACAGTCATCGTTGATCGGTGGGGGAAGTCAGTCACTCTGTACATGGCACGGAGAGAGATGGTCAATCGCTGTAGACCTGTAGAAACACGGTAGAGGTATATAGAGGTAAAATTAAAAGGTTCCGGCAAGGTTGTCAAAATAAAGGCAAGAAAACAATTATGAGTCGTTAAGGTAAGGTACAGTCATTGAGATTTTTTTTTAAAGTTGCTTTTCTGAGGTAAGCATAATAATGAAACCAGGAAGTGAATAAAATATTTTCGGGACATAAATATCTCGAGTAGCTTGTCCGTAGCGGGTATAGGGACAAGGTACAGCATTGCGAGGACTTTTTTTTTCCCCTTCGCGAATGGAAAAAGTGTCTCTTAGTACTCGGAATGGCATAAATGTTTTTTTTTTTTTTATTGTAAATCATGCGTGAAAAAGTGGCGCAAACTTTCTGAATTTACGAATGTCTGAAAGGAAGGTAAACGAGGATACTGAGAGGTACTTCCGATCTTGGTCATATCACGGGTATGCGCCACGCTCTTCAATAGGTTCCGCAAAATATTATAGATTCGTAGTTGCCATTTTATGAGGAAACTGAAAAGAATAGTGATCCTACATCTTAAAACACCGTATGCAAGACTGATGGCAATAGCCCTGCGCACATGAACAGGAGCAAGAGGTCTAATGGCGTACAAAAGCCAGACAGTACTTCCGAAAAAAACGGTTAGGGCGCAGGCGAGCTGGTGTAAGTTTACCATTTTTTAGAGCACCCGAGACTGGGCGGAATTGGGAAACTGAGACGTCGTCGTGTTTCTTCCACCCAGTCTCAGGTGGTCTAAAAAATAGTACTTCCGAGTTTGCTACAAGTAGATAGGTCAGATGGGTGATCTAAGCAAGGTCACTGTGAAAGTACAGACGCCCAGTCATTTAACTGAATTGACGTAAGCAATCGCCGTACAAGAACTAGAAGCAGATTCAATGAGGTATGAATGAACAGAGGAATACTCATTGGTGTTTGTTTCAAAGAATTTCTAAAGCACCCATTTCGTCGTTTACCCTGAGACTGTTTTTTTTTTGTTTTTTTTTTTTGAAGAGCAGAAGTAACAGAAAAGACAGACAGGTCTCTGTTACTTCTGCTCTTCAAAGAAAAAAACCCAGTCTCAGGGTAAACGACGAAATGGTTGACTTCCACCAGCTAGCCTGTACTTTGACTCTTTTCTTTCTAAAGCACAGTGTAAGGTTCGGCGCGACCGCTTCTCTTTTGGTTTCGTTCGGAGGGAAGGAATGCCTCCACCAAGCGGCGGCCCATCGACTGTATTCATATATTGGGTTACCTTTCCGTTCCGAGCGTATCCGGCGTACTGGCACCATACAAGCCGGGGTGTCTTGTGATGTTTGCGCACGGTGTCATTGCCTGCTGTTGCACATTCGTGTGGCAAGGACGGCGAACTTGACACCTGACGTCAGAACCAACGAATGAGAAGAGCAAGACCAGGTGATGTCAAATTTAAAGAATAGCGTTAGAAGAAACTTATGTCAGCATCAAGCGTTATTTTCTACATATTCTAGATTAGAAAGAGAGCGCCGCGCGAATGCCGGGGGCTATTTAAGAATTGCGCGCGTTGCCCCAGCGGGCAGCGTTCTTGTCTTGAGTTAGGTGGTCAGGCATCACCTCGAGCAGGGTTGGGCAGAAATACTCAAAAATGTATTTGGAAATACAAATACTGGGATACATTAAAATAGTAGCTAAAATACTGATACTAAGATACATCTGCAAAAATGTATCGCGATACGTATTGGAAATACATTTTAAAAAGAGGCAAAAAGTATTTGGAAATACAAATACAGGAATACATTTTAGGGAGGGCAGAAATACAAATACAGAAATACTGATAGTGCAATACATTTTCCAAATTTTTTGAGACGCCAACTGAGATGAAGCTTGAAGTTTGAAGTGCATGTTTTCGATCTCGAAAATATTTTCCTGTAGGCTTGGCACTTTGCCTTGAAGGTAGTGGTTTCGGACGGCAAGGAGTCTTCAATGGGCCCAAAAAAAACGTTCCATCAAGTGCTGACCGCGGTCCCTTCCATGACATCCTGTCTGTCTGACGAGGGAATCCTGTCAACATTGATCACATGATGTCACGGTGGAATGAACTAGTATTCTTTTTCTGTAGGTGTGGCCTTGAACATGAAACTTTACCTCGCTGCTGTATGAAAGTACAATACGTTGTAGGTTACCTCGTTGAAGATCGTGCATGCAGTGTCATTTGGAATTTTTGAGAATAGTGGACCACCTGAAGCATCTTGGAATACATGTCTTATCTTTTGTTGTGGTTGAAAAAACGATACGGTAGCATCCCTGTTCTTAAGGTCCTTACTACCGACCCTCCGCCAGCGACGCACGGATTGCAGTCCTCAAGTTTTTGCCTAGCATTATCCAAATAGAGACCTTGTGGATTGCGAGCTGATATTGCCGGCACAGTTGCGAGCTGTCCGAGAAACAGCGGTCTCGAGACGAGTCGCAGGTGTACGAAGTCTGGGTCGGCACAGCGAGGCAACTTCTGGCCTCCTCCTGGGTTTCGGATCACCAGAGCAGCAGGTCACGTTCACGTCGTCTGATGACGTACCCTTGAGCCGTGCAATGTTACGGGCGCAGCCGCAGATGCATTCGAATATGTGTTAAACTTCACAGCGTGAGTCTTCCTACTATTTCAGGTCAACCACCGCCAGGCTGGTGTTGCAACGGAATGTGACTCAGCTTTGCCGGCTGTGTGTACTGTGTACGCCAAGGCGAGAGAGACGGTTAGCAGCGGGCATTGGATGCCAGCGAACAATGACTCAAGAAATCCCTACCTAATAACCTGCGACAGAAGATACTCTGACTCCACTCCTGGCACGCCACCTGGTTCGAGTCCCCGATTACGCGACACTTCTTAGAAGAGAGAAAAGGACGCATCAAAAGGAACCTTGATCAGCATAGTAACAATGCCCCAGCATCTCCTTGACTCTGTCTGTCTATGCTAGATCGCAAACTCAACGATGAAGTTAACTCAATCGGTCGCTGATTGGCTGCCCTTTTGGTCACGTGATGTGACGTTGCGATTGAGTTTTTCCCTACGGATTCTGATGGAGTTCGAGCTATGCTGGTGAAATAATAAAGTTTGCTGTGACGTCAAAATGTCGTCACGATTGAGTTTGGCGATGGAGATAACTTAGTCAGGCAGCCAAAGTTGTCAAAGTCAATGAAGATGGCGACGTTCACGCTCGCGGACTGGGCGAGCCAAATCAAACTTTCACGGACCATCGCTACGTTTTTTATATGTTCGGAACAAGGTTCGTCAGGGACGTAATCAAGGAATACTGCCCGACACTCATTGGTGCTGACAGTTGCCGTGGAAGCTTTGGCGGAGTCGCGAGGGGCCCGATATGCTGACAGCCGAGCAGCAAGTGCTCTCAGCCTCTGCGTTGCTGGCGGCACATTTTGCTGCGACGAAGACGTCGCCGTGCGTCGGTGTGCTATGAGTCGCGTTCTTTGGATGTTACAGAGGCGATAATCGATAACCCGGGGCTGAAGGTGGGTGAGCTTCGCGTGGAAAGGTAAGACGGAAAGACGACAACGAAGAAGTTCAGCGTTGCGAATTCAGCGGTGTAGTTGGTAAGTGCTCAATACGCTGTGTTCTAATACAGTCTGAATGGAACATTTTCTCAATGCGCTCGCACGAGAGCTCTCGGTAGAAAACGGGCGCCTCATTTAACGTGATGACTGTCGTGCGAGATCGCACGCATTCAAGCTTACTCGTGATTGCATGAGTATCATCCAAATGTCTCGGGTCTCAACATCTGGAAATTGTTCAGCTGCAGCACGTTGCGTACGTTTTCACTTTACGATTGCAGGTTCAAACTGGTGTAGTATCTTGTTTTTTGCTTGTGTTGTTTGAAACGTTTCTGCTGCTTTTCTGCCACACTGGGTCAAGCTGCCTCGCCACGTCAAGCTGCAAGTCACACAGCTAGCTTGACGTTTGACATTATATGCCCCATCTCCCACCTTTGTATATAAAGGAAAATAAAGAGATTATAAATTCAATTGACGCTGCACATCTTTGCTCTAAAAGCATAATTTTGGGCATTGTGCAAGGCAAGTGCAAAAGCTCCACTTTTTTTTCAACTATTTTTATTATTACATTTCAGGCTTTTTGGGATTCTATGTAACTACTAGCTCCAAGTAGAGGCTGCATTAGCATATAGAACGCCTATCTAGTCGATGTGCTCTCTGGAGAACTGAAGAGGTTATGAAACATTCATGTCAGATACTGTATCACTGTTGTGTTCAGGTGACCGACAAAAC